GACTGAATAATTCAAACCTCAAACGTAGCCCTTGAGAAGAGAACTCTTACTACAAATGTCCAATTAGAGACTAACCTTCACTACGCTCTGTGACTCAGCCTGAGAAACTACGGTAATCAAATTTCAAACATTTTGTGCAGCAAAAATATAACTTTTTGAGCCAATACATTTCATTCCTTTATATTATTAAATCTACAAAATTTTATCCAGAATTCATGGTTACTGCAAATTAGAATTAAAAGTAAACTGATTTAGTTTACGTATATATATATATATATATATATACATATATATATATATATATATATATATATATATATATATATATATATATATATATATATATATATATATATATATATATATATATTTATATATATTTATATATATATATATATATATATATATATATATATATATATATATATATTTATATATATATATATATATATATATATATATATATATATATATATATATATATATATATATATTATATATATATATATATATATATATATTATATATATATATATATATATATATATATATATTTATATATTATATATATATATATATATATATATATATATATATATATATATATATATATATATAATATATATATATATATATATATATATTTTTTTTTTTTTTTTTTCCCAGCTCTGAAACAAATTAAGATATCACTTAACATATATAATTTTTTTTCTCTTGACTGCTTCTCTTCCCAATGCTATCCTCGCATCCCGATTGTGGCTAAAATTTTGAATCGGTTACACAAAAACAAATTCATTTTGGCAAAACAAAAGTTAGTCAAGCTCATTATGAAAACACAATTTCCCATTACAACTAAAACCTTGGCAGAAAAACCTCCCGTCAAGCATTAGCAGATGACGGGCACTCAGACTTTGCTCTGATTGCCCATTTAACATCATGCCACAGCCACCCACAGTGCTTAGGTTCAGACTTTGACTTGGCCACTTTTTTCTGAGAATTTCAAAACAGGCTTCACTTGAGCTCAACATCCTGAATTGATGACTGGCGATTCTTCTTCTCTATTTTCTGCTGTGGTTGTGGCTCCGGTCTGAACACGTAACTTAAGTTCTGTTGATCCTCCAGGTCCAGCAGTGATCAGCTCTGGGCGTGGTCAGTGACGTCATGAGTTGAAAACTGATATATTATCTGTTTGGTTTGATTGGTGATCCGAAACATTGAAGTGAGTTAGAAGGAGTTGCAACCTTTAATCAAGATGATAGGTAATTTAGTGTGGAGCTCCTTGTTGCCTCAGTTTGTCGGTTTAAGCCAGTTTTGTGTCGTTTTTATTGACATGTTTTTCTATTTCCCCTTCTTGTTTATTCGATGTTATTTTGCGCCTCCTTCCCTCTGTTGCCAGAACCCCTGCTGGGTCGCTCTCTGACTGTTTCCATTTAGTTAATCAGTCTCACCTGTTCCTTGTAGCAATAATCACCTTTCCCATATATTCCTTCCTTGTCATTCATTATCTCATGCCCCCTGTTGTTTATGATGTTGTGCTGAACTCCTAAACCATCCCCTCATTTTGCTTTATTTTGTCATTTTTGTGCTCTTCCCAGCTGTTTACTTGTTTGGTTTTCCTCCCTGCGTCCCCTCTGTTTGCCTTATCATTTGTGATTTTTTTTTCTTTTTTCCGTTTATTGTTTCATCTTCTTCTCCCAGCCTGTGTTTGGGCTCTTCGACACCAAAGCCATGACATACAAAGCCAGCGACATCTCCTGGGCGCTTTAGAGGAAATGGCTGTGTGTAAACAAATGGACTTAATTGCACATGATCCCACACACGGAGTCAAACCACCTCAGTGATGGCAGCGCTTTAAAGTGAGATACAACGAAGCAGCGCCGTCGTGTTCAGTATGAATTTATTTGTGCTTTAGAAAATAACAGTTGGCTTATTACACTGTGCCTGATTTATTTTTGTGCTGCAGTTTTCTGGTCTTACTCGAGGGCTGAGGCTCTGAGTCGCTCTTTAGCAGCTGCTTGATATTCAACCATTACTGAGTGGCAAAGCCGGCCCAAAACGTGTTCGAACCAAGCGGCTGCTTACGGCCCACATATTTTTGATTTGTCATATTTATTGACAAAACCAAAATTTAATTTGATTAAACAGTTTCAGCATAAATAATTACTTTTTTTAACTTTAATTTAGGATTAAAAGAATTCAGACATTTACTTTGTAGAAGTGCAAACTGCTAGTTGAGTTCGCATAGTTAAAATCTATGCGACTTTCATCTTTTATTTGTGTTTGATTTTGATTTGTTCACATGTCGTTCTTAGCCAGCAATATCCAGTTATCCGTAATGCTAATCAAGCTCATTAAACTTGGCCGTCTGGAGTGAAGCGGTGTTAGTGGCGGAGATGCACTTAACAGGTCAAGGGGACCCGAATAAAAGTTTGACCCAGGGCCACATAAAAGGTTTGTCCACCCCTGCTGAGAGGGTAACAGATTGCTGTGCAGCTGCGCTAACTAACCACTGAGATAACAAAATTGCCTCATCAACAAAGTTGTCAGAACAACAACAAAACTTTACACAAAAGAAAAAGGGGGGATGTAGAAAGTTGCAAGAGTAATTACTCTACAACTCTGACTTACATCGTGTAACGAAGGCAAAAGAATAAAAATAAAGCCTTATTTTGTTCAGTGAGCTAGCTGTACAGGTGGGTTCAGAATAGCAGCAGCCGAACATCACTTATCAATGGAAAAGGTGTGTTGAAAATAGTAACTGAAGAGTTCAGTCAATGAGGTCGGTCACAAAGGATGTGAAACAGGTGGGTTCGATTTAAGGACGAAGACAACAGATGCTGATCATAGTTGGGTTTTTTTTTTCTTCCCTAAAAGCCTGAATAAAATGACAAACAACTTTGAGGCTACTCACCTGAAATGATCTGAAATATGGAAATCTGTTAATCATCAATGTTACCACTGTGTATTTTTATAAAAATATCATGCAGACTGTATTGTACTGTAAAGTCGTAGGAAATTTGTCATCAAAATCTCTACTTATAATTTGTATTCAGTCTAACCAAGTCAAGTCTTTCTTAACCAACATTCGGGTCTCTTGGTTTGTCATACCTATGAACAATAGTTTTAAATGGATTTAGGTGTCGACATTAGGATCCCCACAACATTGGTGACTTAATATCCTGATCAGGGAACCTTGAAAAGCATCTGAAATATTATGGAGCCCAACTACTGTTGTTCAAATGCAACATACATTAAATGGCTTCAACTTAACCTTCCTTTGGTGTCTTTCTTTCTCTTTTCCTCTCTCTTTACTTCTGTAGTTTTAATTCACTCCTGAGAACAAAACACAGCAGGCAGACAGGCAGGAAGCAGCAGAGTTGGTCTTTCAAAGTAAAGTCTAATGTTTCACGATGTTTAAATTCACTTCAATCTCTCATTATGGTTTGTATGAGTGTGCAAATTATCTACCTACCTATCTATCTATCTATCTATCTATCTATCTATCTATCTATCTATCTATCTATCTATCTATCTATCTATCTATCTATCTATCTATCTATCTATCTATCTATCTATCTATCTATCTATCTATCTATCTATCTATCTATCTATCTATCTATCTATCTATCTATCTATCTATCTATCTATCTATCTATCTGTCTGACATTTATTTGCAAAAATATATTTATATGTATATTTGCAAAAAACAAAAAGCATCACAAAGCTGCTGACAGATACTTTTTGCATTGCACTATCTATCACACATTGTTCACAACCGAGCTCTGCCCCTAATTTATGTATTTATTATTTATTTTACAATTATCTGTTCGTGTCATAACTTCCACCTGAAGCTATGTGCTTCACCCCTCGGCTCCAGCCGGGACCTCAGGGATGATGTTTTCGCCTCATTAGAATCAGGCTCTGATCCCCAGGAGGACCACAGCCAGCCATTGACAAGGTCAAAGGTTATACAAGTAAAAAGTTCTAATTAGGTAACAAAAAACATGGACGACATGGACACACGCTGCCGCTCCTCCAGCCATGTTGCTTGCTTCTTCTCCGGCCACACTGCGGCGGCGCGCTGATTAGCATGCTAAGCAGGAAGAAGAAACGCAATCCGGCGCATGTCGTAGTTTAGCCTCTATCTGCCGTTCTGTCTGAGGCCAAGAGTTCAGTCTATATTCAGGAATCATATTACTGTTGTTCTCTTGTAGCTCATTCGCCTGCATCCCTTATGCTCCCCCCTCATGAAGCTGCCCTGGGATCACCCTCGCCTCTAGTCAGCTGTTTACCTTGTTACGCCCGCTGTGGATGAGGCCGGCTCTGCAGCATCATTTATTTAGGATTAATGAAAAGTGGCCTAAACTGAGTGTAGCCGTCTGCCTCTGCACAGGAGTGTGTGTGTGTGTGTGTGTGGGTGAGAGAGAGGGAGACGGAGATGGTGTGATGGTGGGAGATTAAGGCTCTTTCATGGGTCAGCGGCCAGTTTCGCCTCTGGCTAATTGTGGACTTAAAACACAAACTCTCTCTGATAACGCTCTCACTCCCTCCCAGACAAAATAGAGGCGGCGTATCTCTTCCTCGCTCCCCTTTCCCTCTGTCTTTCTCCTTGAGACTGCCCTGCGCCGTCGCCATGGCAGCAGCAGATTGAGTGATTTTTCACTGCACGGATTGTTCAATTGTTATCTCTGTTTTTTTTGTTTTTTTCTTGCTCTCTGCCTCTCCCTGTTATTCCGTCTCCCTTCCTGCTCTGCCATGTTGTTTCACGTGCATCCATTTCATTTTCTGTGTGGGTTACCGATCATCCTGCATGAGCTCGCACGCGCGCACGCGCACTCTCTCACACACACACACACACACACACACACACACACACACACACACACACACACACACACACACACACACACACACACACACACACACACACACAAACAGAAGAGAATGCAGCTCTTCACTCTCATTTTTTACCGATGCTCTCTCTCTGTCTCCCTCTCCAGGGTCTCAAATTGCAGCTGCTGGCGTAAAGTCCCAGCTCTTCCTGCTCAGCATGGCCGCGTCCCTGTGGTGCATGGCAGTGGGTGTTCTCACCCTGGCTCAGGTCGCCCCCTCTGGTCAAGGTAAGTTTGATCATAAGAAAAAGTAAATAAATTAAAAAAACGTAGCGGTGAAAAGGAAATTCAAAGTGCTAAAATTAGAGGGAAAATGTTTGCGTTGTTATTCTGATGTGCTCTGTCACCAGAAAATTTCACTTTACTGAGTCTGGGAAAGGTTGAGTAGTGAATGGAAACAGCTGAAAAGCTCATATAGACACTCCATTTCCACTCACAAAGGTTTAAAAGCAATGCAATGTTCTCGCTGTCAAGCTGATTTTCTTTGGACACAGTCTCGGTCACATCTCTTTATATCTGTGTAAAGTTAGATTCCTTACAAGACTTTATGTTTTTCTGATCCCTCAGAATAGGATCAAATTACAATTTTTATCTTCCATTTACAAGCGGAGCTGGTTTTGCTAAGAATCAGCCAATTCCAATAATCATCTCAATGATTAGTGCATTGTAAGTTTGGCTTCAGTTATTACCTTTAAACCCATTTCATGACATTACAAAAGGCAAACTGTTTCAGTAAAGACCCGCTCAGTCATTTATTCAGTCAGTCGGCGCTGTGATGAGCTCAGCCTGTTTTTTTTACCACACAAGTGAATCAGAACTGTGACCAAAAAAAAAAAAAAAAAAACTTGTAATCCGGGACTAAAACTGTGACATTGAGATGTTATTTTTGCCTAACTTCTCATTGGCACTGTTTACATTAACATTCACAAGTGTCCGCCATCCCATTCATACCAATTACTGTGTCACTATAATAATTGATGTTCTGTGGTTATGTAAAGCAATGCAGGAGGAAGTGGACGTGGTTGAAAAGCTTGGTTTTCTACACATAATCCGTTGCATCAGTACAGTAATAACAAGTTGCTATTATGATGAAACCCACTGTCAAACTCTAAGTCAGTCCAGAGTTATTTTCTCAAAGACTTTTGGGTTCTTGAGCTTTTAAAAGGTATTTGAATGAACCCTGTCGTGAATGAAAGCACCTGAAAGTCCAAACTTTCCACAAACAATTACTTATGATTTTGCTGACCCTCCACTGTTATAAGATCTGTGGATCAGGTCAGTTGATCCTGGTAACCTCAGCACAGATCAGTCAGTCACATTCATTTATAAAGTAACTTAAAAACAACAATTACTGTACAGCAAGCAAAGTAAAACATCACAATTGGGTTCATTTAAAGGAGTAACAAAGAAAAAAAAGAGAAGAAAACAGATATATTTTAGGTGAATAGATGCCTCTAAAATATCTCGCTTTGTTCAAAAGGGCAGGGGATAAACATGTGTTTCTAAATGAAACAAAAACAAAATAACAAAATGACAGAAGTGCATAAAAATGAGCTTACAGCTCAGAGCGTGACGTGGTGAGCTGTTCAGCACCGTGGACAGCGACGCGACACGGCCTTTCTGGACCGAACCTCAAGAGCCAGGCTCCCTGCCATGTGCGCGCGATACTGGAGCCGATGTGGGAAACTGAATTACGGCAACGATAATGGGATTTTCTCCTGACATGTAAAGATTCACTTTGCACAGGTCATGTTACAGTACGGCCAATGGCGTAAACACCGGGGGTTTCAGGGGAGGAGGAGAAACCCCCCGGGGGGGGGGGGTGTTCGGAAAAGTCTAGAATTTCCCCCCCAAAGAAATCATGAAAAAAAAACTTGTATTTAAACAATATCAATATAAAAAAGTCATAGAGACAAAGAAAGAAGTAAATCTGCCATTCATCTAAGAAAAAAATAAGAATAATTTTTTTATGTCCCCCCCATTATTGTTAGAACAATGGTTCAGTCCAAAGTGTGGGCGGAGCAACGGCAGCGCTGCTGGAGTGAGGAGCTAGCTGTTAGCTGTTAGCTGTTGCTCCGCAGCACAAATGACAGACCCTCCTGTAAGTAAATACTTAAAGCAAAAGACACGTAACACGTTTTATGTCATTTCCCTGCTCAATAGACAACACATTGACAATAAAAATCAGCCCGCAGCTCGTTATTTCATTACTTTGGCTGAGTCATGATGAGCTGCCACCTTGTGCCTTGGAAATCAAAACTAGTAAAACTGCTACATTGCTTCCATAGACTTGGCTTCTTTTTATGGAGCCAGTATTTTAATTATATTTATCTCTCTAACTCTTACTTTAATAAGAAGAGTTTCAAACTCTGGAGGGAGCGGCTGAGCATTAGCCGACAGCTGTGTATGGGACAGAGAGCAGAGGAGCTGCTGCTGCTGTTGGCAGTTAAAAGTAACTGCCATCTTCAACATGGAGCCCTTAAAACCACAGAATAAAACCTGGATATTTTTCTAGAGAACTCTGGTGCTGATGACCTTTAAGTTTAAGTTATGATACATCCCAGATATTCAATTCCTACATATTTATAGGTTTTCAGCCATCCAGGACAAGAACCCATCAAAATAAATAATAATAAAAAAGTTTAAAGCAACTTAAGTTATCATTTAAATAACACATGGCTTGTATCGAGAACCACTGCGATAAATCAATATTTATGAGGAATTTTATTAAGTGGAGTTCCTTATTAAATGTTATTTTTATTTAGAGCCTTAAGATTTTGTAAAGATGTAGCGGAGATTAGATCTGTGACGCTGAACCAAACTCATAACTAACATCTGAGTCTTAGTTTGACTTCTATGGATCTCAACAGGTTGTAAGAAAAACACTTGTTACTCATTGCTACTTTCTAGTCATTTTTGATGTTACAGCTTGAACACACACACCCACACACACGCACACACAAAACTTAAACCACATTTTACTGTAAATTTAGCGACCCCTCCCAAAATTGCTCTTAAAAAATGTCCCTGTTTATGGTCTCCCCCAATAATGAGATGGGATTACGCCCTTGAATACGGCTCTTGTATTAACTTGCCAAACTGTTTTGTTTTCACCACCTTCTGACAGAAGAGTCCTTCATTCTGTCACAAAAAAACAACAAAAAACTAATAAACCTATTACATCTGATGACATGTAGAATCCAAAGTGCAGTTACAGTCCAGGGCATGTTGTTTAAAAAATTAAATAAAATTATATTCATTAAGAGCCTGATTTGTGGGGCCAACATTGATCTTTGCAGGGTTTGAATTAGGCAATCCGAGCAAATTGTTACAGCATCCACAGGGGAATCATTAGCGTGTATCAATATTCCCAGGCATGGTAATTAATGACTGATGAAATCAGAACAGGTAATTAAAAGGAACTGGCTCAATTTCTCATGCAAATGTCTCTTTAGCATGAATATTGGTGCTCCTCTTGTAGCGTAGAACCAAAATAAACCGACACAAAACGCCTGCAATAAGCCCGAAGTTCTGTAGTAAAATCAAATGTCAAAACATGGCTAAAAATGAACATATTTATTGAAAAAGTTGATTTGTGATGCCATACTAGTTTTATTTAAATCACATTTTATACATTTTTAACTTAAATCCTGCATTCTGGTATTCAAGTGTAACAAAAAGTACAACCAGTCACTCTTTACCAGTCATTGATATTCATTACTGAAAAAGCTCAAATTTGCCATGATTTATTCATATCATATCCTCAGATGGGAAAAAAAAGAAAAAAAAAAGCTTAAGTATTTGCTTTACCTGGAGCAGGAACATTTATCACAGGCCCCCAAAAAGTGATTCCAAAAAGGCTGCATATACACCTATTAGAGCATCTCACACTAAAGGCTCAGAAACTGACGGGAGCACTAAAGTGTGGATAAAAAGAGGCGTGACGGATGCATTTTATCAGGCTTGGAAGGCGAGTGGCAGCTCATCCAGTGAGAACCAAGCTGGAATTTCAATGTGGATTTCATCTTTAAAGCTTGATACGCAGTCTCGGGGCGTTGCAGCCTTCCCTCCGTCGGTTTTAAGTAAAGTGTCACATGAATTGACTTGGGAAAAGAATCCATTACCCTTGAACCTTTACATAGTTTTCATATTGCAACAAGAATTTTCTGTGTATTTCGTTGGGATTCTGCGTAATAAACCAACGTGAAGAAGTGCATAGGGAAAGAGACCAGCCTTGTTTCGTGCCGTCCATCATTGTCATCAACTCTGATCAGCTTCTTTTTTCCTGCTTAAGGAAAACATCACCGCAGCCCAATGCTGCCACCGCCAGGGTTTCTTTGACGCATCGTAGGTCTTCCTCTCCACAGCTACCGCGTGCATGTCATCGCAATTAAATTTGTGAGTCAGCAACCTTTGAAATTTGAAGAGCGATTACTAAAGACGTTTCGAATTACAACAAGAAACATGACCCTTCGATTAAAAAAAAAATATCCTCGGTTTTCATGCTAAAAACTGGCATTTTAAAGAGTTTAACGCTGCAGTATAAACACATTGAGCGCTAAAACGTGTCTGATTGTATGCCGCCCAAAAGAGCAATTATGACTTAAGCTTGTTAGCAGTTTATTTTTATGCAAACTACAGGCTAAAGGTTTAGTTTTGAGACGTCTTAGTCTTTATTACAACAAAGTGTTTTAATGTATCCTCTTTGCAAGCAATGCTGAATATTTAATGTTGTGCTTCGGAGTGGGCCTTTACGTTTCTGTCACAAGCAGATATTTACAACTTTGTGGCATCTTTAAAACCGACTTTATTTTCTCTCTCTCTCACTAAAAGATTATTTTATTGCAACGAAAACAACGTCGCTGCATCCCTCCCCTGTTTACGGAAACTGGTTGCCAGACTCTTAAAGAGGTTTCTCCAACAGTTGAACCTCACAATGTTCACCATTAACATCAGTCTGACTTCTACTAAAGTGCCAAACATGCTGTTGTTCAAACTCTGCTGGCAAAAAACAAAAACAAAAAAAAACTGGCTTTGGTCCAGCATTTTTTGCTAATTTTAGACCTATATTTTCACCCGGCCCCCAAGTCTTGGGGAGTACCGCAGGGCTCTGTGCTTGAGCCCCTGCTTTTCGTTATTAATTTATTGGCTCTCGGTACGATTTTTTTTTTTTGTCAACAACGTCCTTTCATTTTTTATGCTGACGACTGCCAAGTTTATTTTCCTTTCCTGTTCAACCTCTTCTGAACTGCCTCGGCCACATGAGAGGGGATGAAGGGCACTCGGGTTTCTTACATTTATTGAAAGCAGTATCGACTCCTGCCTCAAAGTTGAGTCAATCCAATTGTCAAATCCTGCTTTTGTTTTTCACCCGAATTAATTATTTTCTTCCAAGACCACCACACCTAGGGCGAGCATTTAGATTTCCGTATATCTCTTTAAATTAGTCTAAACCATTCACAGTTGGCAAGAAATGCTGCTGCAAGATTTCTAAATGATTTCTAACACGACTCCAGATTTAATGTCTCGTCACTGGCTCCCTGTCCACTTTACAATGTGTTTTGAGATAACTTTACTTGCTTTCAAAAGTTTAAATGGCATTCCCATCTTTTTGAAAATCTCTTGTATAGCTCGTCACCCACTCTGAGATTAGCTCGTCCCATGTATTAACTATCCCCTACACCTCATCCAGAATCAGTTGCTCCTGATAAGTTGTCAAATTAGCTCCTTATAAAACTTAGCTGTTGCTTACTGCTTTTAAATCTTGCTTAAAAGTAATTTTTGCTCTGTGGTTTTAATCATTCTTTGCATTATTCTAAATTTGTTTTTTTTATGTTCTCCTCCTCTGTTATTTTGTTATCATTGTGCAGCTGTTTGGTCAGTGGTAATCGCTGTTTTTAAATGTCTTTTTACAAGACATTTAAAGATGTCATAAAAAAAAAGAAAATCCAAAATGACTAAACATTTGGACAGGACCTCCAAAAACTCTGTTTTTTACACTTAATAAAAAATACCTCTGGCTGCCATCTTTAGACGCTGTGCATCATGAAGCGTTGCACTGGTTTCATGAGTCATGCTCAGTATTTTTCATTTGTTCTTCTGTCTCAGTTTCCATTAAGCTTAGGACATGAAGAAAAAAATGGTCAAAGAAATGGTGAGCTTCAAGTGTTTCGAGGGAATAATGAGCCTCTTTTAAGGCATTATGAAGATGTTTATTCATTTACGTCCATGTTTTTCCATCTTCTTGTGCTGCGTCTGTATTTAAAAACATCTTGTTTTAGGACCTTTGCGACAGACATTTTTAGAATTAAAATAGTTCAATTAAAATAGTTCAAATAATTGATAACCGATCATGATTTAGATTTTTTTCCCCATGTCTTTCTACATTCCCCCCCATACATTCCTCTGCCATGGCGCTCTTTGCTTACTCTCTCTCTCTCTCTCTGTCTCTCTCTGTCCCATGCAGCCATGTCTCGGGCCGCCATGCCGTTCGGGCTGCTGCGCAGGGAGTTGGCGTGCGAGGGCTACCCGATAGAGCTGCGCTGCCCAGGAAGTGATGTTGTGATGGTGGAGACAGCCAATTACGGACGCACCGACGACAAGATCTGTGACGCGGACCCCTTCCAGATGGAGAACACACAGTGTTACCTTCCTGATGCCCTAAAGATCATGTCCCAGAGGTTCGTATCCGCTGAGCTGTGTGATTTGTTCGTTCGGCAAGGAAAATAATGTTCACTGCCTCTCTTACCTTATGTCGCGCCGCAAACAAGAACTGTCTGTTTCGTGTTGGCATCTGGTTTGACAGGCCAACTGAAAATAGCACAAAACTGCAAAGTGAAATCCAAAAATCCGATGCGGTTTTCAAATGTTCTTACTCTTCGTAGGGAAAATTCTGAAATTTAGGGCACATGCATTCGGCTTCTAGAGGAAATCCAGTGCAAGCAAGTGCCTTACAGGGTATCTGTGATGTAAAATTGACATTTTGCAGGTTTTTGCATCTCAACTACTTCTAAAAACAGGCAAAGCAAAAAAACAAACAAACAAACAAAAAAACAAAAAAAAAAAAAAACACCCAGCTATTTTTTTAAATGAAAAAAAATTATGTTTTTTTGGTATCTCCCAGGTGTTAATCCACAATCAACAGGCACAGTAACATTACCTAGCAACCCCAGCTGGGCTCCAGCACCTTTTGTCAGCTGGTTTTACCACTGCATGCACTGTACAATGGCTGCTGGAAAAAATAAGTGTTTTGTTGTTGACCTACCATTCAGAAACCACTTACTGGATTCTCATTGGTTGTGCATGAGGCTCCATTAATGCTTTTCAAAGGTTCACGGTTATAAAATCCCGTGTCTGTTTTCAGCTATTTTAGTTAAGTTGGGGTGAAGTGGGGGTGGCCAGCAGCAGCTTATTTGGATTTAAAGTGACAGGAGCCTCTAAAACAGTTCGTTATGACAGGAGCTCACAGTAGATAGAACTGACCAAAGTTCAGGCTGAAATTGAATTCAGAATTTGAAAGAGAACTTGAGAATGGATGTTCACATATTATCGCCATCTAACCTGAGTTTGAGTTACTGCCCAAACTGTTTGCCCGTTTCACACATACATGAATTTGACTTTTGTTATTTGGCCTCACTTTACAGCTGCTAGAGTTTCACCTCATCTCCAAAGGAGTTTTTCAAAGTTTGGAATCGTATTCGTGAAAATTTTTGAAAATTTCTTTTCATATGACCATCTGTGAGGTCAGACACTGTTGTTGGATAAGAAGTCTCTTCGCTTTAATTCGTCACTACAGTCATCTGTCAGGCCATCTTTATGGACCTTGCTTATATTTGAACATTAAGGAGCGATTTTTAAACTGTTCCCACAAAGTGAGGTGCATGAAATCTTATTAAATTTATTGGTGTGCTGAGGAATTAACATTTCCTTTCAGAAATGTTAATTCCTGAAAACAAACCAGACTTTTTTTTTTTTTTTACAAATGTTTATTGATGGTTTACACAAAAGTGATCGAAAGACCAAACTGAATAGTTTCAACCCCATGTTTTTTGGTAATAAGAAAGAATAACATATTCACTCTCCAGATCTGATCCAAAGGTCCTCCAGCTGTATTTACATCTGAAGGGGGTTCTACAAACACTTCACTGAGTGGGGCTCTACACAAATAGTGCATGCCACACTTTTCAGACTTTTTAAAAATGATTCAAAACTTCAAAAACTATGTATTTTCTTTTCTATGTGACGCAGTTATACGCAACTTTCTGTCACTGTAAAAAAAAAAACACTCAATTTTGTTTCCATATCATGACAAAATATTTTAAAAAAGCATCAAAGAGACATTTAAGCAACGCCAGATATTCTGCAAAGTATGACCTTGTTATTTAAATGTGTGAGGGCATTCTGGATGGAAGCAGGTCAACTATTTAACGCAATTACTGGTTTGTGCGCAGCGTGTAGGTCTCTTGCTGTACATAATAAATGTGGATTTGTTGGAAACACTACACCGAACCAATACTCAGGCTTGTGTGTCATGTGTGTGTCAGTACTGCAGAATGTTTAGCTGTGTACTAGCTGTGTACTCAGCAGCGTTTTCCTCTAAGAACTGATCAATATTCAGAAAGAGAGAGAGAGAGTAGAAAATGGCCCATCCTTCGCCTCATCTTTTTCTGTGTTACTCCCTCGACTTCCTTTTTCTTCCCCTCCCTCTAACTCCATCAGTGTCATCGACCGATTTATCAGTCCCAATCCGTCCGTTCTGTTCCTCAGATGTAACAACCGGACTCAGTGTGTGGTGGTCGCGGGGGTCGACGTCTTCCCAGACCCCTGCCCCGGAACGTACAAGTACCTGGAGATCCAGTACGAGTGCGTCCCTTACAGTGAGTACACGTTAATGTGCAATTGAACACATGCACACACAAAAAACAACAACAACAACAAAAACACAGTAACACACACGAAACACGGATTTAACCTACTTATGTCATGATGCAGGTTTGATTTTTGATCTTTCACCTTCTGATGTCAGCTATTTCCCTGAGAGATTGATGGATATAAATATATATCAATATATTTTTTCTAAAGTGAGATGCTTTATGAGATGTTTTTTTTTTCCTCAGGAAGAGTGTGTGTGCATGTTGGTGTGTGTGACTCACAAACAGAAAGTAGGATGGAGAGAGAGGTGGAGAGGGAGGGACAGGGAGTGCTGAGAAAGGGGGAAAAAGGGAAGAAAACAAACTGTGGGGCATTTGCAAATTGTCATAAAATGTCACGCGTGTCTGCAAGCGTGTGTGTGGGTGTGTGGGTGGGTGTGTGTGTGGGGGGGGGCGCGGCGGTAAGCACTTGAGCGTGCACGCGTGTGTGTGCTTCTCTTTTGCAGATTCACGCCACAGGAGTTGCTCTCTTTTCTCCACAGGAGCCTGATTGAGGGAAGGAGAGATCGGGGGAGGGAGGGCAGGCGGAAGAAGAAAAACAGGGGGATGATTGGGGGAGGAGGGTGGAGGGAGGGGGTGAGGGGTGAGGAGGAGAAGAAGAAGAGCGGAGTATGTTGGGATTTCTTTATCTTTCTCTTTTTTCTTTTCTTTTCTTTTTTTTTACATGAACAATAATGTTTGTGGTGAGAATGAGCTCCGAAATCTTTATCTGTGCAACTTTTTCTTTCTTTTTCCTCCTTTCTTTGCTTCTTTCTTTCTTGCTTTCCTTTTCTCTCTCTTTCTCACTCCCCCCTTCTTTCACCCTCTGACTTTTCTTTCTTTCTCTCCCTCTTTTTTTTTCCTATGCTTGAGTAGAAGTGGACCAAAAAGGTAAAGACAAAACATTGTAGCATCTTGATCTCTCCTTACCCCCAGACCCCACTGTTTTCTCTTCTTCTTCTTCTTCTTCTTCCTCTACCTCTCCACTCTCCTCCTCTTCCTCTATCCTATCATTTCTCTCCTCCTATAACCCTAGGACGTTGTTTCGTAATCATGCTGGATGTTGCCCCCCTTCCTCGCCCTCCCTTCTTTTTTTCATTTATTTATTTACTTTTCTCATTTTTCACACAGTTATTTGATTTTTTTTCTCTCCACATTTTATCCATCTCTTATTGTATCCAAAAGCCGTCTTTTTGATCCAATTTTATCCAGGTTCTGCACCTATACTCCTCTCTCTTCCTCCTCTCCTCTTTCTCTCCGTCTTTCTGTGCACACACACAAAAAAAACAAAACCCACAACTGGTCGCACAAACATGAACACTTTCTTTATCAACTCTTTCTTCCTTCCTTCCTTTCCTCCTTCCTTCTTTTCCAGTCATCCTCGTCATGCTTATTTTCCCTTTTCTTCCCCTATAGGAAGAGCCCCTTATTTATCTTCATAGGAAAAATAAGACGAAACGTGTGTGTGGTTGTTTATTCGTCTGGATGTGCGTGCTTACCAAGCACCGCTGACATGCGAGAATGCGTGTGTGCGTGCGTGTGTGTGTGTGTGTGTGTGTGTGTGTGTGTGTGTGTGTGTGTGTGTGTGTGTGTGTGTGTGTGTGTGTGTGTGTGCATGCCTCTTTGCATGCCAGTGTGGGACTGTCCAGTCTACATATGTGTTCATGCAGTTATTGACATGTGGGTGGACCAATTGTTGTGCCCAGCGTAAACTAACCTGCCCTCTCATTCACTTCAAGGCAAACTTTAGCCCCGCCTTCTGCGTCCCTGACTCTACCTCACACTCTTCTTCACTCTTTTTGCACTAACCCCCTCCCCTCCGTCCGCCCCTCCGGCCCCCACGCTCCTAAATACACACGAACACGCGCACACACACACGCACCCCCCCCCCACACACACGCACACAGGCACACACACACACACACACACACACACACACACACACACACACACACACACACACACACACACACACACACACACACACACACACACACAACATGAAACACTTAAATGCGCTTATACAACTTTCATTGCAGTGTCCCTGTTGTATTAATCACCACACACACATTCGCATACAGTGTGTGACTTTTCAGCTCTTATTCGTCTCTTCTGTCACCTGTCGCCTGAAACCAGAGGTGTTTTAAATCTCTCTCTTCTTCTCCCCGTTCTTCTTTTTCTCCGAATCTCTCTGCATCATCATCTATAATTCAATTCATTTTACCCCCTCTTGCTTTCATTCATCCTTTTTTTTCCCCCCCTTCTCACACCTGCCTCTGCTTTCTTCCTCTCTTCCTCTTATGTTGCCTCGGCTCTCTTTCCTGTTTCTCTCATCCTGCTTTCCTCCACCTGCTTTCCTAACGCCCGGCTCTTAGTTTTCGTGTGCCCCGGCTCGCTTCTCAGCATCCAGCCAGACTCCTCGCTCCTGGAGGCGGAGCATCAGTCCGGGGCCTGGTGCAAAGACCCCCTGCAGGCCGGAGACAGGCTGTACGTCATGCCATGGACGCCGTACCGAACGGAGGTCCTGTATGAGTACGCCTCGTGGGACGACCTCCGACAGAACAGAGTCACCACCACCTACAAGTGAGTTTGTTTTTGTTTTGGCACCTGGACCCGGCTCTGATCACTGTTGGACCAGAAACCAATCCTGGAAAGCATCGTCGCCTTTATCCCCTCCGCTGTAAACATACGACAGCGGGAAGAAAAGTTACACACATTTCCACAAGACCTTTGAGAAAATGTTACATGGAGGGATGAGACAAAACTGGAACTTTTGGAAATCTGAGTGGTTGTTTTGATCCATCTGGCATAGAAGAGTGACAGAATTTTCAACTATTAAATACAGAGACAAAGATGGTAGTTAAAGTGTGGAGGTGTGAGGACGCTTTGCTTCACCAGAACCAGAACAATGTTCATTGGCTCACCAACGTACAACACAGCTGTATGTCACATGACTTTTTTTTTGTATTATAAAGACTTTATTCTCATAAAATTATGACTGAGTCCATTTTGACTAGACCAGCTGGTTCTACTTACTGTTGTGCGACTTTATTCTCGTGACTCTATGTCCTTATCCTCACAATATTATGACTTTTTCTCATATTCTACTCTATCTTTCTTAGCCTGTATACAGTGCACACAGTATAACTAAAAATGTATAAATAACAACTTTTTCAAATTAAAAAGAGTACCACCACTGGAAAACTTTTTAATTTCTCTTATGCGGCATAGTTACAAACATCTTAGTATGAAAAACCTGTTAATAAAGGAAAATCAATGTTGTAGATGTTTCATTTTGGCCTGGAAATGAAATGAAATGGATATTATCCGTCCTCTTTAACGTGTTTCTCTGTCCTAGGTTGCCGAGTCGTGTGGACGGCACGGGTTTTGTGGTTTACGACGGAGCTGTGTTTTACAACAAGGAGCGAACTCGCAATCTGGTCAAATACGACCTGCGCACTCGCATCAAGAGCGGCGAGGCGGTGGTTGTCAACGCCAATTACCACGACACCTCTCCTTACCGCTGGGGAGGAAAGTCGGACATCGATCTGGCGGTGGACGAGAACGGGCTCTGGGTTATCTACTCCACAGAAGCCAATAATGGACGCATCGTGGTCAGCCAGGTAGGAGGACTGAACTCGGATCGATAGCGGGAGCCGAGGGGAAGGAGGAGCGGGAGCAGAAGGAAAAGCAGCTTAAGTGCCACTGGGTTTCGTTCCAGGTGAACCCGTACACGCTGCGCTTCGAGGGCACCTGGGCGACGGGCTTCGACAAACGCGGCGCCAGCAACGCCTTCATGGCCTGCGGCGTGCTCTACGCGGTGCGCTCCGTCTTCCAGGACGACGAGGGCCAGGCGGACAGCCGGGCCAGCAGCAACATGGTGGTGTACGCCTACGACACCAGTCGGGGTCAGGAGCTGCCCGTCCAGATCCCGTTCCCCAACCCGTACCAGTACATCTCCTCCATCGACTACAATCCCAGAGACAACCAGCTGTACGTGTGGAACAACTACTACATGCTGCGCTACCCTCTGAGTTTCACACCGCCGCCACCAACCAAAGGTGAGGAAATAGCAAATTATGTTACACTACATGTATAGATATACTTGGCAAAAGAAAAGAAAAACTTTTCACATTTTTCAAATCTTGAACCTCCATGTGTTTTATTTTGATTTGGGCAACACGAGGAAGAGAACAACTCTGACTTGGATAGTAGAGAATATATTACTTTTTTATTTTATTTCAATAAAAATGTGACTAGCCTACCATTCATTTTCTTATTCATATCCATCCTCCTTTACTTTGAGGATGGATCTGAAAGCTCAACCAGCTGCAGTTTGCCAGAGTCCATATAAGAGACATGCTGACCGTGAGGGAGAAGGCGCTCTGGTCAGATGATGGTTGAGATCCACAAGCTTATTTGTGTGGCTCAGTCAAAGCCCAGATTTAGATTCCACTGATTTGTCTCCACAAATGTTTCTTATCCACAAAAGATTTGTTTCTAACTGAAGCTGAATTATTGTATAAATAAAATGTGGGAAAGAGATTCTTGATGTTTGCCCCCATAAATAAGCAATAAATCAGTAATTGGAAGATAATTTCCATTTCCATCCTGATGATTAATATCAGCAATTTTATTTTCAAATCTAATTTTCTGTTTCATTTATGGTTTCAGTTGAGTAGTTGTTTTTTTTTGCTTCATTATATTTATTGTTTTTGGTTGTGTTGTTTATTTATTTATTGTTTTATTTGAACAGTTTGAATGTTTTCTCTCTCTAAGGGTTCAATACAACAGCAACAATGTCATTGATTACCTCAGTCATTTCTGGGAATGTTCTGATTGTGACAGGCCACCTCATAAATCAACAAAAAAAGTTGTTCTTCAGAGTTTTATGTCAGTAAAATTTGAATATAAATACAAACACAAACGTGTAGCTGACCTTTTTTTAGTTGCTCTCTCAAATATTTCCATCTCTGAGAAACTTTTTTCATCCTTGTGTCATCTATTTTCTATGGAGAAAATATCACCAATGTAAACTGAAGCTTGGGACAGAACATAGCAAAATGTGAAAACTGAACACATCAAGACGGGGCGGCGTCTTGTCTCTGTCCCTGCAGGTCCTCTGTCCTCTCTGATGACCACCGTGCGCTCCTACACGGCTACAGTCGCTCTCACCCCGGTGCGCCCGTCGGCCTCGCACCCGATCGGCGTCATCAACAGGGGTCCGATCACAGCCATGGTCCCGCTGACCCCGCGGCCCCCGCTGCGGGTCCCCCTGGCCCCCGGCGGGCCCGGTCAGGTGGGCGGATGCGAGGGCCGCGTTGCGCGAGGAGTTCAGTGGCCTCCGACTCTGAAGGGAGAGACGGTCGAGCGGCCATGCCCTAAGGGGTCTCTGGGTAGGTGTGGTGTGTGTTTTTGTGTGTGTGTGAGTGTGTGAGTGTATCCCGTTTCCTTTTGAAACGCGGTCAGGTGTCCTCTCTTTGAACTCAGACGAGACGGGGAAGAAAATTAAAAAAACGAGAGAGGAGTTTCAGTGCGGAGAGACGCCGGATTTGGCAATTCTTCCTCTCGCTGATCAGCTGCCTCTCCATCCCACCCTCCCTCTGAGAAGACGCTGTGATGCAGATTATGTTGATAATCCTGTGGTGCATTTTGCCTCGATAATCATGTCAAATCGTTTCAGCACGGATTTAGCACAAAGTTGACTATACTGGAACAGCGACACCGTATTTTATCTTTTAACTCGAACCAGGTGGAGATGCTGTCTCACCTAATTTGCAAGAAAGAGAGACTGGCCATGAACTGATGTTTTAATAAATTTATAAAATCTAGCTTGATTCACAGTACTACACTGACCTTTGTTTTGTTTTTATAATACATTCTCCAGGCAACAAAGTCTAAATGTGTAAAACAAAGTAGAACTATTTTAGTATGCCAAAAAAAAAGCTGTTAGAAGCTCTAAATATAACCTCAACGATTCATACTCACATCTAGGACTAAAACCATTATTATGATTAATTATGATGAATTGATTACTGAGATAATTGTCAACTAGTTTAGTGATCAATTAATCAGTAAATAGAGAATACAGATTCAAAACAGACACAATGCTGAAAGAACAACACACTCAGAGCAGTAATTAAGTTATAACTACAAAACAATATGTAGATTTTGCATTTAATCTTTGTCTGTAAATATGTTATGCCTAAAATTTCAGTTTTAGCTTAAACCGGTTCAAATTCTGATAAAAAAAAAAAATAAATCTCCTATTCAGTACCTTTTGCAGCCCATTATTTACCACTTAATCTAAAAGTGATCAAGCCCGACAATGTATTGATGTTAAGCCGAGCAGAAAGCCCTGGCCTTTCCTCTTTTTACATGTTGATGTTAGAAAAGTTTTTCAACATTTGTTTCGAATAATCGTCTTCAGGCCACAGGAAGGACATGTTGTTGTATTTTTCTATTTAAAACAGGAATTCAGTTGTTGATTTACGCTTTTTGACATATTTCTAACATCATCAAATATACACACTTAAATAAAAAATCTGCAGAATGTGCCAGTTTTTGAATCATATTATTAGATTAATCGTCAGAATAATCAATAAATGAACTGATAACTAAAATAATTGTCAGTTACTCACGTCCAAGTATTTTATATTGTCGCAGTTATAAGCTGCATTTATCTTCAAATCCTTTTTATGAGCCTAGTTTCCATTTTTATTGTTCTACTTGGAAAGCTAAACACCCCACTGCATCCAGGATGGAAACACAAATCGCTAACTTCTGCTTTTATCACTGGGAATCTGTCTGATCCCAAACCAGAGAGGATGGAAGTTCAGCGTCTTTGCTGCAGGAGCTGGACTTGGTCCAGATCTTCTCCTTTAGTTGTGTCTGCAGAACCTTTAGCTGCTCTTGCTCTCTATTGATGAACTTGTAGTTAATCAAGAGGTCAAACACTTTTATGCTGGGTGTGGGCTCAGATCAGGAGACATTTAGAAATATTTTTTGTTTTTTCTTGTTATAGCACAAACAATTTAATTGGTTGTGTATTATTATTATTATTAACATGCAATGAGTTCCAGTTTGAAAACAGGAGAAGGTGTGGGTTTAAGGTTTTTGCTTTCTGTTTTTCTTGTTTTTTTTTCCTTGTTTTTTTTACTTTGTCTCCCCCTTTCTTCCGCCGCAGGAATCGCCTCCTATCAGTGCATGTCGTCTCCGGTGGGCTGGAACTCCCGAGGGCCTGACCTTTCCAACTGCACCTCTCCCTGGGTCAGCCAAATCGCTCAGAAGGTCGGTGCCTTGCGCAAACACACATACCCTGACGAGCAATGACACACAAACATGCGCCGAGCAAATGCCCCACGTCTCTCTCGCTCTCTTTCTCTCTTTGTCTTTATCTCTCCATCCATCTCTCTGTCTTTTAAATGTCAAAACATTTGACATCACAAACACCTCCCGACTCCCGTCCAGATCAAGAGCGGAGAAAACGCGGCCAACATCGCCGGGGAGCTGGTCAACCTGACCCGGGGCCGGATCTACGCCGGTGACATCAGCATGTCGGTCCGGCTAATTGAGCAGCTCTTGGACATCCTGGACTCTCAGCTGCAGGCCCTGAGACCAGCCAACAAAGAGTCAGCCGCACGCAATTACAACAAGGTAAATTTAAAACATGGGTGACCTTTAGTGGAAATGAGATGGAGAAATGTCAGTGATTGCGGGTTTAATTGTTCTTTCAATTTTTTCTGCTTTCAGCTGCAGAAGAGAGAGCGAACGTGCAAAGCGTATGTTCAGGTGAGGCTGATGAGTGGAAGAATGGAGGAGCAGTGAGGAAAGTAGTTTTCCTGCTATGGTATTTGTCAGATCGTTATCACAAACATCAACGTGGGTTCTGAGGATTTTGGTCTGATTCCCCAAAATAAATTGTCAGACGGTTTGCTGGTAAACCTCAGTTTGACGTAGTTTGTGAGACAGACGGACTGCGTATCTAACCAGGTGGAGCACCACAGGGTCCTGTACTCTCACAATTCCTTTTAATCACAGACCTCCAGCACAAGTGCAACTTCTGTTATCTGCAGAAATATTCAGGAAGCCGAAAAAGGCTCAACAGTCTGGTAAATTAGGCTGGTTCTGTTCTGCTGGAGCCACTGGAGATGATGCCGCAAAGACGGATTCTTCATGAAACCAAGACAATCACGGGCAGCCCTGAATACTTTTTAATGGAACTGAAATCCAGCTGGTCTGTGGAGGTTTATATGATAATATTAGGGGAGCAAGCAGCATCCTGCCAGACCAAGAAACACAGCAGATGGGTCAGAGGTCAAGCTGTGGAGAAGTTAAACCTTTGCTAGTACGTGAAATTATCTTTTAAACACAAAGCCAGTGCTCAATACGTTTATTAATGGGGAGAGTATGTCATAACATACTGAGACAAGACCAGGCAAAAAGTTATTCTCTGATGCACAAAGCTTGTTAAAACATCATCTGAAAGAATAAAAGGTGGTTCCATTAAGTGTCGGCTCATTGGAAGTAAAGGCAACAACATTTAGAATTTTCTTCCATTCATACGGTACTTTGTGTTGGTCTATTATGGAGCGAAAATGGTCTCAAAATACCTGTGCATGTGTAAAAATATCTGTGCGTGATTTGTAACTCGTGTCAGCATCTTTGTGTATAACTTTGGATAGTTGTATCTGTGAAACATGATTTGTAAAACGTAAAAAGAACATTTGTGCGTAACTTCAGGTGCTTGTAAATATGTGGACATAAATATTAAAAAATTACGAATACAAAATAAAAGCACACACACACAGTTACAGTTTCTACAAACATTAAATTTCTACACACAATTTTTTAACTACAACCTCAAAAACCTTCTCCTACGCCTACAAATGTTAAATAAATACACACAAGTTGCCTGGTACACACACACAAAACTGCATTATTGCACAGATCAGATTTTTTAGACTCATTTCACACTTCATCAATGTGAATCCATTGAAGTTTGTTGCTCATTACATGACAGAAAGAATGTGAATACGTCTTCTACTTCTGCACTGCACAGACGGATGAGCAGACCGACTGACAGATAACTTTCTGCGTGTGTGTTTTTGTCAGGCTGTGGTTCAGATAGCCGATAACCTGCTGGGTCCTGAAGCCCTGGTTTCCTGGGCGGACATGAGCAGCCTTGACCAGTCCCGCTCCGCATCGCTGCTGTTGGACGCCGTCGAGAAAGGAGCGTTTCTGTTGGCCAACAATCTCTACGAGGGCCGTTTCAGTGACAGAGCGCCTAATGTCGGCACGTTGACTCTCCATTTCCCTGTGTATTCTTGCTGCCCGCAAGAATCCTGAACTCCTCCATAAACGTGTACTTTTTTTTTGTTTTTGTCAATTCACAGATCTGGAAGTGTACGTACTAAATACTGAGGCTGACATACAGGACTTGACATTTCCACACTCGTATGACAGCGACAGCATCCTGCAGATATCGGCGCAGGCTCTGCAGCAGTACAGCAACAACGGTCAGTGGCACCGGGAAAAATCGGTATTAAGGAATGTTCATGGTGGTTAGTGGAAGTATTACTTGTCCTTTTATCAATATTTGCTTTAAATCTCTGAACACATTCTCGTCAGGGCTGCAACTAAAGAGTATTTTAGAAATCGATCGTTCTATTAATTGTTCTGATTAATCGATTAATTGGGAACTTTCTGCTGATTTTTTTATTTAAGCCTTTTTTTATATTAGAAATACATTAAAAGATGCAATAAACAAATAAATAAACATTTGTAGCAAATGATGCATCTGTAGCTTCAGTGAACATTAATATGACAAAAGGTTTTGACTGACAGTGTTGGGCTGATTTGTTGATTAGTTTTTGAAGGAACCGATTAATAACAGGATAGCAAACGGTGCTCAAAAATATAGTTTTTGATACAGAATTTGAACCAGGTGAAACTAAAATGCCAGTTTGTAAGAGTTTTGGTGAAGCCATCTTTACAGACTCAAAATATTTTTTTTCATCTTAAATGCAAAATTTATATATATTTTTTTTACAGTTTTGACTTAGTTACTGCTCTGAGAGTGTTGTTCTTTTTGAGTCTCCAGTTAACGATTGATCGATTATCAGTAATCGTTTAGTCACAATTGATTTGATTAATCGTTTCAGTCCTAATTCTTTTCAAGAAGTGATTTCCCGCCTTTTGTTTTTGCAGGTCAGGTGAAATTGGTCCTTTCCCTCTTCAAGAACCTGGGCCCCTTCCTCACCACCCAGAACTCAACTTTGCGTCTGGGACTGGGACTTGCCCAAGGCCAAGAGCCCCGGCGCAGGAGCCTGGTGGTCAACTCCCATGTAATCTCTGCCTCGGTGCACAGAGGCACCAACCGGGTGTACCTCACAGCGCCGGTGATCTTCACTCTCAGACATCTCCAGGTATGTTCATTTGCACCCAATTACGTCCAAATTAACATTTAGATAGAGTGAACGCCTCCTGTTTGGATACCGAGTTTCCTTCACAGCCTCTCACGAGATATACGGCCGTGTTTTCGTTTTCGTCTGCAGCTGGAAAATCACTTTGGTCCCAACTGTTCTTTCTGGAACGCTTCGGGGGTTTCTGGCAGCGGCAGGTGGTCCACGCAGGGCTGCCGCCTGCTGCACACAAACAACACGCACACAACTTGTGCGTGCAACCATCTGTCCAGCTATGCGGTCCTCATGACTTACCAGCAACCAGTTGTAAGTTGCACATCTGTACACAGCAGCATTGGACACAGCTTTAGACACGGACGAGTTTGTCGGGCCTCCGGTAGAGATGAGCAACAAGCATGGCAAGGATTTAGGCCGTATAACTGAGACAGCCATTAGAGGAATTTGGTGTCTGATTAATGATTTTTGCATTGATGAAGTCATCCAGCAGAAAGATCCAGTGATTACTTTCAGCAGAAGCCGCCAGATTTTTACTGTTTGAAAGAGCTCATGATACTACGCAGTAAGATTCGCAAGGCCTGTGGCAGATGAAACCTGTCCAGTAAACTTAACAGTGGACATGAGTTGCTTTTCCCTGAACAATCATTAGGCATTAAGAAAACATCTAATGGTTACTATAGAGACATGGAGACCCCAACTCTCAGCATCCTCCTCCCCAGGCATGTTGGCGCGATAAACATGAGTTCGTTAATAGCTTGTTTGTCACACTTTCAGTTGTTTTTCTTTTCCTGAAATAGGGTTTAAATATACTTAAAGGTTTTCTCATTCTAAAATTCTTACTATTAAGGTGAGCAAGTGAAATAAATAGCGGTGTAGCAAGACATAATTGTGCGAGATCTTGTGATTTCAAGGGTCTATTCACACCTGATACATTTCCCACCTAGGTCTGGACCTTTTGATCATTCACTGAAGCGAATCCTGGACAATCAACTGAAACCCACTGGTGGTTATTAGTTCACCTCTAAAGCAAACCCTCGTGTGGTTCACTTCTGGAACGCTGCTTCTGCATGCACAGATTGAACTGAAATCAGGCCCGATGCGCCGCTCTCTGCACATTGTGGGTCAGGAGCTTCTCGTCTCATTCTGCTTGCAGCAGCATCTGCTGACGCCGCTCCAAAATGAGAGACATCGCATTGTGAAACCTGCGTTGCACTAGGCGTTCTCGACATTTAAAACGGCGTCGCAGTTGTGAAAACAGCAAAACCGTGCACAGCCGAAATGCAGCGAGCAGGACTTCCACGCTTGTTTCCTTTCCATCATTTCTGTCCAACAGGAGGAATGACGGTCGTCTGCTCGGTTTTGTTTACCAAGTGTAGTTCTGCTGCAAAGAAGCACAAAATGAATGCAAACCGCACCGGATGACAAAAATAAACAAAGTCGGCTTTTGGTCCAAGAGGACCAAGGACTTTCCTGGCGTTAACATCTCAACGTTTCTCATTGAGGTGTCTGCTACCTCATAATCAGCATCAGCTTGGCTCCTCCAGAGGAAGGCGCAATAAAAGAGCTAAAACGTTTATTTGCCTGCAATCGGTTCCGAGCTGGAACAATAAATGGCAGCAGTAACATCAGACATCAGTTTGTTGAGTTTGTAGCAAAAACAGTAATAAAATAAAAGCAGATCGAAGGCGTTACTGAAGCGTAGCGTCTCGTTCTCATGAACTCCATATCCTGTTTGGTCTTGAGAGTTGTAGTAAGCATCGTTACAGAAATAAGAGAGGAACTGATTGAAAGGTTGTTGTTTTTTTGTTTTTGTTTTACACAATCCAGTGGGGGCAATTAATTCAGTCTCTAAATTTGAGTTAGATTTGATTTCAACACTTCGAAACTGTTGTTTGCCAATATTGCCAATATAAGGCATGTCAAGTTCTTTTTTAACATGTTTTGGAATAGTTGATTATAAGACATGTCACTGCTGTTGTGTCAAATAGCCATGTGCCAAATTTAGCCTTATTTCTTCCTCTTACCCAGAGAGCTCAGACTGACGCTGTGGTCTCTAAATAAAGGGGGAAATCAGACGCTGAGTAGGCGTTGGATTGCTGCTGCAGACATGCAGCAGGATATCTTGTCCTGCCATGAAATTAAATTAAGTGTTCCCTGCAAGATGTTCTCTTCATTAGCTGTGATTTATTCACATAAATAGGTGTTATGTAACAAACAAACACGCAAATACCCAGCTCCAAACACAACACAATACATCCACATATGCTCTGGGATCTGCACCAACGCTGTGCCTCTGCATTCGTTCGTTCTTGTTGTTTTTCCACACGTCGATCGACGCCCTGCTGTGACATCTGCTTCACAGTTCGGCGCCGGTGTGGAGGAGCTTCTGGTCTACGTGGTTTCCTGGGTCGGCATCGCCGTTGCTCTTGTGTGTTTGGCTACCTGCCTTATCACCCTCTGCTGCCAGGGGGCGCCGTGGCACACTGACCACAGCACCATTCACTGCAACCTGTGGGCCAACCTGCTCATCACAGAACTCATCTTCCTCATCGGTGCCAACAAGACTAAGTACACGGTCTGTACTTTGATATCAGACAAATCTGCATGAATTGGTTGTTCTTGTTTTTTTGTGGCTGCTTATGTTGCACTCCCGTTTTCAGGTCCTCTGCTCCATCACCGCCGGCCTGCTGCACTTTTCGCTGCTTTCTGTGTTCTGCTGGTTGTGCCTGGAGGCGGTGGAGCTGTTCCTTCTGCAGAGGGAAGTGTTCGAGGGACGCAACTCCAGGAGGAAGTATTTTTACCTCTGCGGCTACTCTGTACCAGGGCTGGTGGTGGCCGTGTCGGCTGCCATCGACTTCAGAGGATACGGCTCAAAAACGGCGTAAGTCGATGAATGTGGGAATCGCTCTGTTTTCCCTACTGTCTGTTTATTTTAGAGACACCAATTAGTGCACACAAAACAACCATTACAGGCTGGCAGATGGAAGTTTTGATCTGCAAAATAACCAATTAGATAAGCAGAGAGAAAAAGCAACAACAAAAATGAACAAAGAAAAGTGTGAGAGGGGAAAAAAAACAAGTTAAAATGCACATATTTTAGAGAAAGACAAAACACGGAACATAACCAAGCGGTGTCACGACACAAATGCTTTTTTTATTTTCTTCTTGGCAGTAATTTTCCAATTATTATTTCCTGCCCATTTGCCTTTTTTTCTAATTCCTTGTTTTAATTAACCTAGTGACGCACACACACACACTCACACACACACACACACACACACACACACACACACACACGCATACACACACACACACACACATATATATATATTTTGGGTAGAAGTGGAAAAAAGAAAAAAAAAAAAAGCCAGAAAAAAAAAATTAAGGACAACTAAAGAACATGTGATCTTACTGGTGGTGGTGCTGTTACAGGTGCTGGCTGCGCACAGATAACTACTTCATCTGGAGTTTCCTCGGACCTGTAGCTGTCATCATTACGGTGGGTCCTGCTGCATTGCATCGTGCATATATTTTTCAGTTGTCTCTCATTTCTTTGTGTCTCGTTTCCAAAGCGTCAGACATTATTTCTTCAACCTGGGTTTTGTTTTAAACTGGACCGGTGGGACTTAACAAAATGTTCATACTCAAATTGTTTTCAGCTTGAAACTAAAGTGAAAGTATCTTAAATCAGAAGTTATAACAGAAGATCTCAGTTCCAGATGCCGGTTAGTTATAAAATAGCCAAATGTGGCTTTAGAATGAGAAACTAATGATTGTTGCATTGTTTCACAATTTGTGGAATATACAGAGAGTAAGAACATGAGATATTAAATGTTTTGCTGCTCAAATGTGAAATGCGTGTTGCAAAATTGTTGACGTCTGAGTCGGGGCATGTGTGGACTTTCAAGAACAGACAGTTGGCAGGAACTCAGGATGCACTCTGTCAGCAGAAGACATTTTTCTTTTAAACGTGTTTTTTAACGTGTGACACTTCTTAAGTTTTTTGAGATTGTTCTGTCAATATGTTTTCAAGAACAAAGACTGGATTGAAAACGATTGGCAAAGCAGCCAAATGAAAACTTTGAAAGCCTTCAGAAAATCTGAAAAATGGATAAAAAACACTTTTCAATGGTTTTAAAACCACTTTGAAATGTTACAATGACATGTTGTTGTGGAGGGAGAAAGTTGACAGTCTTTGCAAATGTTCAGCTTTTATTTCAGTGTCTCTCTAACGAATAACATGTCTGTCTTTGCTTGTTTGCCGCAGTTGAACTTGGTTGTCTTGGTGATGACCCTACACAAGATGCACAGCACCGCTGCACTCAAGCCCGACTCCAGTCGCCACGACAACCTCCGGTCAGTCAGACCGCCTCGTGCTGTTTGAAAAAAGGTCACGGTGTCCGAATGAGTTTAAATCATTACGATGTTTGAAGAACATCGAGTTTTCACAGCGCCACCTTTTTTTTTTTTTTTTTTGATGTGTGAAGTCGGAAATGTCAGGGTTTTCGAACTGAAATTGACAGAAAGTGTCTCTGAAGTTTGGAAATCAGCGTCACCTGGATGTTGGATAGAGACGAAAGATGAAAGAATCAACTTTCTGCTCATGTGTGAGCTTTGTCCACCGCGTGTCTGACCGTGGGGTTCCTGCTCCCCTCAGGAACATTTTTGTTTAAGGTTCAGATTCGTTGTGAATTACACGCAGAGCCGAACATCCACAGAGGAAATAAAATGAAAAAAAAAAGAAAGTGTGGGAATGTTTTTGGTACAGCAAAAGAAAATCTTATGAGTATTTCGGAGGTAGATTTATTCCAAACGGTATTGAGTCATACATTAGAGTCTTTGCAACGTTTTTGTTCAAGTTAAAGTCAAACAGAATCCAAGAGACATTAAAAAGTTTCAAAACCCCGGTGTGAGGTTTATGTCGACTTGATAGACGTATGTGTGACAAAAACAAAAAACAGTTCATGTGGACAGTTTCATGTTGCCTTCTCCTCCTCTGTGTGTTTTGTCATTAAAACGTAACACAAAACAGGAAGGTGAAACGTTTCTGTGGGGCGTCTAAGATGGCGTCCATCGATGATGCTGAAAACGCAGAACAGATCTGAAATTCAGGCATTTTCTTGTGCTGTTTTCTTCAAAAAATTGACTGCTTTAAAGGACTAAAATTACTAAATGAAGTTTATTGTTTATCGTTTATTGAAGCTTTTTTTTTTGTGAGAATCCATTCTTCGTTTTAGCAGCTTGCAGCTACAAAACACAACGTATTTTCTGGAGACTGTGTGGCAACCAACAAAAGCAGTGCACAGATGTAAAGTATGAGATAGCTTGTTTGCATTTCGTTTTTGGACACAAAGTGTCAAGTATTTGCATTCACCCGCCCTGAATTAACACTTTGTAGAACCACTGAAGGACTTTCAGCAAAGGCCTTAACCAGATTTGAGATGTTTTTCCTATTTCATATTTGCAAAGTTGTCTCAAACTCAGCCATGTACGATCGGTGGAGTCATTTTCAACTTGTGTGACCTTGTTGTTTGGCCTGCAGGGCCTGGGCCGTGGGCTCCCTGACTCTCCTCTTCCTGCTGAGCGTCACCTGGTCCTCGGGCTTGATGTTCCTGTCGGGTCCGTCTGTCCTGCTGGCTTACCTCTTCACCTCCCTCAACACAGCCCAGGCCCTCCTCATCACCATCCTCCACTGCACGCTCGCCAGAAAGGTCAGCGTCCAGGAGTCGTTATGCAAGCACACACACGTCCGTTTCCCTGCACCTAAACACTCTGTTTTGCGTCAACGGCGGTTTAGGGTCAGAAGGACTACGGCCGATGCCTGCGCCTCTCCCAGTGCTGCGCCACGTCCTCCTCCAGCTCTCCGGACTCGGTCAAAGGCGCAGCGCTTCGCTCCAACAGCCGCTACACCAGCAGCCAGAGCCGGAGAGCCACGGCGAACAGACAGGTGCGCGGCGATGCGCTCTACCTGCTGTTGGCTCTGTTTGACTCCCAGCCACTGTTTAACCGTGAGCTAATTTTCCCCTCCAGAGCCGCATCAGGAGGATGTGGAACGACACGGTTCGCAGGCAGACCGAGTCCTCCTTCATCGCCGCAGATGTTAACAATACTCCAACTCTTAACAGAGGTGAGGTTTGGGAAATTAGCTCTGCTTTCCGCCTGCTGTGAGAAGAAAAATAAGGAGAAACCAATTTGACGTGTTTTCCTCTCTCTCTCATTCAGCTGCTTTGGGAAACCATTTCCTGACCAACCAAATGCTGCAGACTCATGCTGGAGCTTCTCCCTATGACACGATGCTGGCGCAGGGATACAATCAGCCCTTCACTTCCACTGGTACGTCCCACTAAATCACATGTGATCTCCCCATTTTTACCCTTTATATCTGAGAAATCAAGTGGGTGTTCTGCATCTGAGTGTTTCTTATAGAATATTTTTATTTGTTCAGAGTCACTTTAAATTATTTCTCAACTTCAGATGTGAATGTTTTGTGGAACAAAAGTTAATTGTGTCTCTATTGGGGAAGATTCCATAAAAAAATCACTTTTCAGTATTTTCAAAATGTTAAAATAAACTAATATCATGTAGGAGTTTTAAGGATTTGACTTTGTAATTTAAAGAACATGTTTTTGACACTAGAATGAATCAGTATCATTTTGTGCAATTAGGTTTATATCAAACTTAAGGACATGGAAAGATGCTAAATCTAAATAATAATGCCATGAAAAATTATTTGCACTTTTGTTTTATTTTTTTGGGGGGGTCACATTCTTTTAGATTATATGTGTAAAAATCAGGCTCGAATTATAATTGGCCTGGGAGATACTTACACATTTCCTTTAGAGCGGCCTGGATGTTGGACACAGCTGATATTACAAATCCTGAATAGCGAAGCCGGAGCACTGGCGTGTCAAGCACAACCCCGCTCCAGCGTTGACATTCATTACCGCGTTCACGCTGCTGCCGGTCCCGTCGGGCCACCGCTCACAGAATAACGGCCCAAAAAAGAGGAAAAAAGCCAACAGACAGACCTGTTTATCACCTGTGCTGAGCCAACGTTGCTGTAATCAAACAATATTCAGTATGAAAGTTAGAGGTTGAAAGCTCATAAACTCCAAGTAAGCCTGAAAGAGTGGCTATGGATAATTTTATATGCAATGTAACATAATTTTTAATAATGTACATCGATAAGTGCAATTATTTGTGTGCTTGTTTTTGTCTGTCATGTTCATTGTCTTATTCTGTCCCTGAAACTTAAAAAGCTTTTAGTTTATTTCAGTGTGAAAAAGATGACTTTTTGTTTTTTTGTCAATTTCTTTTTTTTTTCTTTGAATATTTCTGTCGTTTATAAATGTTTTTCCCGCTTTCCTCCTCTGTCTCTGTGTCTTTACGTGGAGCAGTAGGAACCTTCAGAAACAAACCGAGTATGACCTCTTTCCTTTTGTGCTCCTTTAAGTCATCGAGCACCATTTTGTTTTTCAATTCATTCAGTGCAACAGTTGCAGAAAGTAAATGTGCACAAGCCATGTAGTCTTCTTGCAAAATTATTCGTGCTTCTTTTTCATTTTGTCACGCTCACGCTGTCCTGCGAAAATGGAAGATATGGCCGTCCAACTAAATGGCAAACATGTAGAAGAAGTTTGTCCAAAATTGACCTTTTTGCCCTTTAAAGAAACAATGGGTCAGGAGAGCTGGTCAGGGTTGAGAGGTAGTTGGAGCGAAACACAGGGTGACACCGGAAGCAAAGTTTTGGGAAGCTGAAAAAGCCGCTCAACATGCAGAGATAGCCTTCAATGGAATAGCTTAAGACGAAACATATTCATGGGTGTCGTTGTTCCAATCAAGGTCCAGACCTGAATCTGACTTAAAATCCATGACAAGATTTTAAAATCTAACTCAGCTTGAGCTATATAGCAAAAAAAAAAAAAAAAGGAGGGACATTAGAGTCTCACGTGCACAGATGGTAGAGTCACAGCCCAAAACAGCAACAACATGGGCCTCTGCAAAGTATCAATTCAGGTCAGATGAAAACCCATTTCAAAAGATTGTGATGGTTGTTCACTTGGAATCCCAATAAAATCCGTTGAAGGTTGTAATGTGACAATGTGGGAAAATGTTGAAGGGGTGGAAATACTTTTGCAAGGTGCTGTAAAGGCATAACTTACATCTCTCCATGTGGCAACATGAGCAGACATCTCATTAAGGAACAGCTTGTTTATCTCCTCAGTCCTCCTGGTAACCCTCCACCTTCAGCGACATATGAACTCCAATCTGTATCCATTCATTCATTCGTTCATTCATTATGTGCCTTTCTGTCTTTGTTTCAGTCTTCCCTGTCTCTATTTTTACTTTAATATGTTTATTTCTCCTCACAGAGGGCGGGGTGTCACAGAGCCAGGAATCCTGCGCGTTGGACAGTGTTTGTCTTAATGGAGGCTACACCCCCAACACCTTCACCCTTCATGGTCTGGGTACCACGCCCGGGTCGCGAGCGGGAGTTGTGGGCAGCGCTGACCTCCTCAGGGAGGGAGGAGTTGGGCTTGGAGGTGATGACATCTCGCCAGGGCTCCTCACGCCGCACAGCTCCACAGATCTCAACAGCGGAGCCGGAATGCGCCGCAATCTGTCCGACGCGGCGGCTCTGGAGAAGATGATCATCTCGGAGCTGGTGCAGAGCAACCTGCGGCCCTCCGTTCCCATGCCCGTTCCGCCCGAGCGCTACGGGAGCCTGGCGAGGCCGCATCACCACGAGAGGCCAGCTCTCACTCACACCGCTACGTTGACCCGCCACCCACAGCCCTCCCAAGAGGGCTGGTCTGCCACGGTGCAGCCGAGCTCCCGGCAGAACGCGCAAGAGGGCTGGGCGCATGCAAGGCCGCCCACACAGGACACCGAGGCGAACGCCGCCACACGGGGTCAAGAGCATGGCACCACGCCTCGCTTACAAGATGGCTGGTCACACGGACGCATTTCTGGAGATTCCGACACCCAGGAGTTACTCAAAGACGGAGACCGCTCACAACTGCAAGGTACTCTGGGCAGGCGTGGACACCAGGAGAGGCAGCCGGCTCGGCCACCAGACATCCAAGCGAGGCCTTACGCCACTCTAAGCCGCACCCCGGGTACCTTGTCCCGCCACCGCAGCATGGTGGAGTCTACAGGAGGGACAGAACGAGACAGGGAGAGGGACAGAGAGCGAGACAGGGATCGCTACCGAGACAGACCTCTCCCTCCACCTCCTCCCCCACCGCCACAGGAGCCAGAGTCACTGTACAAGGCTCTGGAAGAGCCACTGCTTATGAAGCAGAGAGAAGCGGTTGTAGAGGCATGGAGAGGCGGCCAGGACAGGGAAAAGGAGGAGACATTTCTGCTGAAAAGAGATGGAACGTCTGACGACTGGAGAGGGGGAAGCAAGAGGGGACGAGACGAGTCTTTTACCGCTCATAAGCGAGAAGGCACAATGGATGAGTGGAGGGCCGGCATCGAGAGAGGCAGGGAGGAATCCAAAATGCTCGAGAAGAGAGACGGACGACTCGAGCTGTGGCGAGCAGGGGAGACGGAGCAGGGAGAGACTTTTATCACTCAGAAGAAAGACTTTGGGATGGATGGTTGGAGAAGTGAGGCAGAAAGAGAGTCGGACGAATCCTTTTTCCTGAAGGACAGAGACGGGTGGAGGGCAGGGATCGAACGAGAGAGCGAGACACAGAAGGACAGAGCGCTGGATGTTTGGAGAGGCGGGATAGATTTGGACAGGGAGGAGTCTTTCTCATTCGAAAACAAAGATGGAGGCCCAGATGGGAGGATCAGAGGGAAAGACAGAGGGTCTCTGCGGTATCATGGCGAGCGACAGGATTCAGACAGCTTCACCCTACCGTTAACGCCCGATCTCGACTTGGACCCAGACTCCTCGCCCATCTACACTCGGGATTCGAACCCTTCCCCTCTATACTCCGGAGACCGCCGCTCGCCGCCGCTGAGCATCTTCTCCCGAAACTCTCCGCCGACAAACATCTTCGCGCCACGAGAGGACAACTCGCCGCCGGGTAAACTCTACTCCCGCCACTCTCCGCAGATGTACAGCCGCAGCAGCTCCCCTCCCCGCTTTTACACCCGCACCTCTCCGCCGACTCACATGTACCCAGACAGCAGCCCCGAAGGCCCAGAAGACGTCAGCCCTACCGGTGGCCATCAGCCCCAGCGGCCCACTCTGGAGCTGCCCTACAGCCTGGGGCGCCCGCCGTTAGGCCCACGGCCCAATCACTTGCAGACCTTCTACCAGCCCCCGCCGCTCGCTTCAAACGGGGAGACAGGGTACGCGGCAGAGCCCACTTCTGAGGGAGACGACGGACAGATGCAGCGGGTGACGAGCCTGTGACTAGGGCGGTGGTGATTGGGGTATAGATACCAGGGAGGAGGAGGAAGAGGACGAGGGTGACAATTTTAACAAAGTGAAGACCAAAAAGATGGAAACTTAAGATTACGCTTTAGAAAAAGAACAATGTTGGACTTCTTTAACAATTCTGGCATTTTACATGATGGCTCCTCCCTGCTTCTATGCCCCAATCACCACGAGATCCCCCCCACCCCCTTTCCCGTGTTTTGTTACTTTTGTACGACTGTGATCCATTTATAGCTGCTTCTCCTCCTGCTGCTCCCCTCTTCTGTCTTTCCCGAAACTCCCTTGTGTCTTCCCATATCATTGGTGCTTTCCTTAATCCGTCCTCGTCGCCTAGGTTTTGCTTCATCGGCTGGGTGTTGCCCCTCCCTGTAGCAAACAGTGTGTCAAAGAAGCACTTGTGTGTTGCCAAAAAACAAAAGAAAAAAAACAAAAACAGGAATCCTTTCAAAGAACTCGTGCATGACTTTATAGTGGCTTTGCAAGGCTACATACTGTAGGAGGACGCGCTGACACGTACATGCGAGTGAGTGTGCATAGCTTGATGAGCATGTGTGGCTGTAAGGATGGGTATATGTGCGTATGACAGAGAAAGTATGTGTATATAATACATTATTGTATATTTAACGTACCACATTGAAGCATTTTATCAATACCGACCGGAGGAGCTGTCCGTCTCTCTCCTCCTCCTGATTTTGACTCGGCCCATTTCACATCAAGACCAAAAAACTTTTGTTCCCCCCAGAGCTGCCACGAACTGCCCCGTGGAGGAACTCGCTGACCGCAGAGCTGGAGATTGTGTAAAACCTCAGAGATTTTCTGCAAACCCCTCCTGAGATCCTTGTACATATCGACCTCAAGTGTTCTGATTGTCTTGTATTGCTATTGAAGTTCAAAGTAAACATGTGAAATAAATGTTCCTGTTTTTCTGTTTGTGTGCACAAAGAGAAGTGGAGGCATTCAGAGAAATGATCGGATTTTTTGTTAATAACTAATCGGCGATGATGCCCCCCAAAAAAAAAATTATGCCGATGTTCTTTTCGGAAACCGCGGATATAGCACACGACGGATTAGAAAATATAGTTATGTACATTTTAGAGTGGATAAATAAATGCTACTTTATACATCTACTGTGGAATCTGGGTCGATTTGCCCCCTTTTGCCAATTCACACCTTGATTTCATCTGTGCATGTTGCCAGTTTCCATCTGTTTACCTGTTTTATATCACTTTGCTTCTGGGTAGTTAAAGGGATAGTTCATAATGACTGGAGTGAGGTTCTGTTAGGAGGCTGGTATCTTACCTGCAGTCAGTAATTTAGCTTAAATCCAGTTGGACCCAGGGGTTAATGCCGATACCATGTCCAAAAGGATCCAAGGCCAAAATGGACTCCAGCTTCTGTTTCAGAAACGGTACAGACGTTTATGTATAAACTGTTGTTGTGTTTGCATTGAGAGTTTATTTACAAAGCAGTCAAAAGCGTATATATCTGGGAAACGGAGGTAGGGGTTGGCATTTTGGGATTTCTACGGGAAACAGAATTCAGGAGTGCATTCACACCAGTCCTTTTTAGTCCGTTTTCATCAAACTCTAGTTTGTTTGCCTGGAAAGCCCTGTTTGTTTGGAGAAGGGTGAATGTGCAATCGAACTCTGAGCCGCCTACAAACTTAGGTTTCGATTTGATAAATGTGAACTCTGGTGCAGTTTGAATGCACATGTGGATGTAAATGGACCGGAGACCGCTCCAAAGGCGGGAAGCGGGCTGTGCATTCTGGGTAAACGCAACATAAACAAACGCAGGAGTGTAGCGCTGGCATAAGTAAAGGCTGGTGGTCTTCTACCGAAGACAAGCGAGAAATACTACAGCTGCTAAAACATCACTTTGATTTACATTTTGAGAAGAAGGACGTTGTGCTTGTCGTCTTGTTCAGAGACTTTTGTGCCGTTTCCTTCAGTAGTTCTTGGCGCAGCGAGAACTACTGAAGGACAAGAACGCACAAGATTAATGCGATTTAGAAGACAACATAAATATAACAACGCATGGATGCAATGGCTTAAAAACATCATTGCCATGGCATTGATGAATAAACTTTTTTGCTTATCCCTCCTCTTTATCAGACAAGAAGCAACACATTTCACTCAGAAATATTTCAGATTATTTATATTCCGCCGCTTCTTCTACACTGATTGATGAACCATTTCCTGCGGAGCAATCAGCCATTTCTCTGAATACGTCTACTGAACGCAAATGGCCTAAATGATTCGTAAAGCGGTGTTTGCACAGATCGCTCTCATGTTCTTAACGTGTTCTGAGACGACGGATGTCTGGCTTTTTCTCTGATGAGCTGTTAGCTTAATCTTTGTGATCAGATAATCTGGATTTATAATCTGAGACAGGTAAGACATTAACCCTTTAGAGCATCTTTTTTAAACTAAACCTCACTTTGAAATTTCACTTTGAATAAGTATCTTGATCAATAAGAGATGAATAATGATTAAATTGGACAAGTCTTACCTATTTAATTTATTGTATATCTTTTTTTTTTTTTTTAAAGATTTTACATTTTTCTTTATATTATACCCTAATTTCATTCATTGTGTGTCTGGTTCTCATTCGGACCAGTTGACCCGTGAAATAAGACATTATGGCTTCTAATCAAATCAAAATAATTATGACTGAACGATATTAATGACCAAACTGAGGGCAAAGGTCACTAAGGCAGACACAAACTGATAGTCGGTCCGTAGCTCTTTTATGGATCCAAAACATCTGATTAACCGAAACGTAAAACAGGAAAAGTGTGAAATGGTGATGGGGTTTTATGGCCGACACTCTCTGCTGTGTGGCGTTTAGGACAACGACTCTGACATATTGCAACATCTCTGTACAAAACAGTGCAAAAGTCTTAGGTCAGCCTGTATTTCCACTCTTTGACTCTAATGAAAACACTTCTTCAGGCTTTCTGCAAGTCTTTTAAAAATTTTCTTTGAAGCTTACACATTTCCCGTACCTGACCACAGCAACGCGTCATTAAATGTTTGCCTTGAAAGATTAGGACAATGCAGAGAAAAAGTTTCTATGTTTAGAAAAAGGAGATGCATTGTTGTACTCATTGCCAAGATCTCAGTTTGTCTGTGTTAAAGTGTTTAACCTGGTTTTTTGTTTTGTTGGTTTTTTTAGAAAATAAAGGAATGGGAACATTTTTGTTCCTGCGACTCGAGTAGCAAAGTGAAAACGTTTCGTCGTCGTTTCCTTGCTACATCGTAAGCAGACACACAACCAGTTTCGCCCTTGAATTTTGAAAGCTTTTTGGGAGCAGAGAGGTCAAACAAATGTCCATTTAAATGTTGACAGATATTGGGAATGTAACTCTGTGAAAACGAAAATCTTTTAAAGACCTGAAGAAACAGAAAGAAATATTGATCACGTAAGAATTGAGGGATAACTTGATGACTTTTGCACCAAACTGAACAGAAACATCCGACGAATGACTGATGTGAATCTCTTTAATGAAGATAAAATTATACGTTTGAAATGATAATAGAGAGCAGAATGCATCCCGAGACAAATCACTTTAACTGGAACTTTATTCAAAATGATAACTTTACAAGTTCGATCATTGCACATGATCATTACATTTCTGAGAAAATGTGAAAGTATGGAAAAACGACATTTTCACAGGCATTGTAAGCATAATGAACTGGTGCATGTGATGATGTAGCCATGTTTCGAAGTCCGAGGAAATCAGAGACACCTTGATGGAGTCGATGAGATTCATTTGAGGCAGCAGAGAAAACGATGAGTTTGGATAGTCCTGCTGAGAAGAAAGGTTAAATACAAAACTTTATTTAAAATGACTGTGTGTGATTTTAATGACAGGAATAAAGATTGTATTACTTCTCTTGATCAAATAAAGATTTTTTTTACTATTAATTTACTTCTATGGTGTGGTTTCACATTAATCTTTTGCAAAGTGTTGTATTATTGAGGAGGTACTCAATATATATATACTATACTTTAACCAACCATTTTCATTTTTAAGTCTTCTGTTTTCTAAAAAAAAAATAGAAATTGTTTTAATTTTCGTCTTTTATGTAGATCATCAGACAAGAAATGATGTAAAAAAAACAAAACAACAAAACTATTCAAGCTAAAAGAGAAAAGAACAAAGAGGAAACAGAAAGATGATCCGGTGCAGATAAAAATTTGGTGAAAACAAATGATGAAAATAAAGAAAAAAACAAACAAACACTGAAACGATGACCAAAAGAATGATAATAATTGGATCTAAAAAAATTTTTTAAAAAGTGCTTCATCAAATTTATGTGTCCACTCTGCAGAACTTTATAAACCTCATGTTTTTTTAAAAAACACACCAGAAACTCAGCATTTTTAGACAGGCCTGAGTGTAAACATTAAATTTGATAATAAGCCTGTAGAAAACTACAAAATTATGTTTACTAAAACTGAAAATGCAAACACATTTTTTTGTGAATTTTCAGATATTTGGAGTGCAAAACATTTTGACAGAGTTTAATCTCACACACAAAAAAGCACAATTTCCAGTGGAATATTAATTTACTTATAACAAGATATGTTTACTATGACAAAAGTGACATTATCTGCTATTGGAAATAATACTTTTTCATCAATACTGAGGAGTTATTTATTTAAATTAAGCTCCTATATCTTGTAGAAAAACTGCTTGTGAATTAGTTTTGTCCTATATAAAGGGTATTTAGATATTTACACTAAAATGTGGACCAAAAATACTTTTCTTTGTTTTTGCAGTACAAGGAAAACAATCACAAATCAAAACACAGAATACTTATAAAACATTTTTACTTCTTGCAAGACTGACGTGTGTACATCAAAAACGACCTCTACTGATAATTTCAGTATTTTTCCTGCATGTTATATTCTGTTAGGAAGTCTGTTAGTCTTTTTCTTATGACACAACAAATCCTACATCTGGCAAAACACATGAAGAAGAAACGAGCGCTTACATTCAGCAGCGTACAAAATTACGTAACAACTGTTAAATAATACAATCTGTGTATATAAAAAAATATATTACATTCTAGTCATTGCAAAGTGGTAATAACACTAACATTGAAATGAAATGTGCCTTGATGTTATGCTTTGTGCCTTAAAAATATTTATACATGTAGTCATGGTGGCTCCTGTTTTCAGTCTCACCTCACAGGTCAGTCACAAGGCCAAAAGGTCGAGGGCTCAGCCTGTTTACATAACAGACGTCGTTTTCAGTCTCCTTGCGTCTCCTTCTGTCCTTTCCTCTCAATCACTTCGATTTCTTTTCTCTCTCTCCTTTATCAGCTGCAGAGATTGTCTCCAAAAGTCTTTTTCTGCCCCCCCTGTCAAAACGTCGAGGTATGTCTTGTGATTTCAGAGAAAACTGCCAGGCGTTCCTCTGGCTTCTGGTGGGGTTTTCAGCAGACGGTATGCTGAGGAGACGAGGGGCCGCCCGGCGTCTCGGCTGAGGACGGGTCTGACGTGCGGCCTTTGAACATCGGCGAGATGTAGACAGCCTGGCGGTGCGGGGAAGGAGAGGGAGGGAAACAGACAAACACGACTTGAGACACGAGCGGACTCTGACATGCGGACGCGCTCCGGTGAACCGGACAGGAACGGCGAGGAATACTGACCACCCAGTACGCAGTGAGAGCCCCCTGCACGAATCCTGTCAGCACGTCCGACGGGTGGTGCCTGTAGTCCGAGATGCGGGTCAGACCCGTGTAAACGGCCAGGAGGACCAGGGAGAACTGCAGCAGGGGCCTCAGCAGCCGAGCGCCGCGCCACGTCAGCCGCGCCTGCAGGTAGAACTACAAACAACAACATGTTTAATGCTCTGGAGCTCATTCAGCAATTCAGGAGTAAATCAGGAAAGAAATGAAAAGCGGTTTAAAGCCGACTGTAATAAAAAAAAATATTAAAAAAGCGACATGTAAATGCAAAGCACCAAAGTTGGACAGAGTTCTTCTCCCAGGATGAAAGTCAGGAAATTTTTTTTCTTTTGGACTTTTAAACCTGTTAGGTTTTCTTTCTTCTTCTTTGGTAATAAAGTTTGTCTTTAATTAAAACCCCCATTTCATTTTTGTAAGACTTATTTGCAAACCCATAACGTTCAGCTGCTCGAGACAATTGTGTTATTTTTATTTTTTGTCTTATGCATTAGAAATCTGGAAAAAACTTCAAGAAAACTGTAAAGATGTTGAAACACTGAGTTCATTTAAGTCAATGCTAAAAGCCCTCTTGTTTAGAGCTGCCTTTACTCACAATAACCGGAACATTGATCGGTAGACTGGATGTGCGTTTGCTTGACGATTTCGATGAGGACATTCTGCAAAATATGTTTGTTGCTTATTTCGTAATTGCGAACTGTACGATGCTTTTATGACGCGAAGCACTTTGAGCGACCTTGTTGCACTGTCAGTGCTCTCTGAGAAATTCTTTAAGTATTTTAGTACAATATTAAAACTAAATTGCTCTCACTATATGAGTTTGTAAAGTTGTTTCGAATGTTTGCTCTGATTATTTTGAGTCTGATTGCTTCACTAATTGTCACAACTGCAAGTTTTAACCTTGATCTGAATTCAAGGTCTAAAGTTTTAAGGAGTTTGTTTAGTTTAGTCTTACTGAAATGTTCTTTTTTTGTAACTGTGAGCTTGATTTGGAGTATTAAAATCAGCGAACTGAACTCGATCCACCAACTTGTGGTGAGGGCACCGGGGTTCACACACACAACGCAGCAGAGCGGCGGGGTCGAAGGTGACGCTCTTCCCACCGTGAAACAAAGCGGCCTTTGTCCGCCTCGTGTCCTTCGCTCCCCGTCCTCGCTCACTCTTTCACTTCCTGTCGCTGAGATAAGATAGATTTGAACACGGAGGCCGTAACTAGAGGAATATACGTATTACGAGTTCGGCGAGTCGACGAGCGGAGGGCCAGAAGAAGTAAAAAACCATGAAATAAAATCTGGATCATTTAAGTCAAATTCAACATTTGACACAAAGCAAATACAGAAATCTATCTAAAATTGTTTATGGGGCTCAGTAATTTAACAACAATAGGTATTATTTACTTATTAACAGTATTTCTACTTCATTTAATGTGAAAATCATCAAGTAAGACTTTAATTTATGACATGTTTAAATCTCTACTGATCAGTTCATTTTGTTCTAGTTACTCTTCTGAAGAAAATTATTTAAAACGTCTTAAAAAAGACCCTGATTGGTGAACCTGCACAATAACATGATATTTAAGTTCATTAAGAACTTGTCAGTGCTCGACTCTCAAAGATTTAAACCAAGTAACATGGTACATTTTGAAAAATGGTTTCTACGTGTGTTTGCGACGTTGCACTGTCAGTGAGACATAGACGAACTTTAAATAATCGTTTATTTAGCTGACGTATTTGCATTTTTATGAAAAAAGACGAAGATATTCACAGAAACTCACCGCTAAATACAGCAAAGAGTACATGGCAAAAGAGGCGTGGCCAGAGAAGAAGGACTTCCTACAAAAGCAGAAAAAAAGCATTTAGATTCACAAATACGTCACCCGCTTTTACAGGCGAACCGCAATAAATTAGAACATCATCCAATTTATTTCAATACAAGAATAGACAGTTGAGTGGATATGAATTACTGCATTAATGAACATCCTTTTACTTTGCACACCTTTTTTGATCACAGTTTTTCCTTCCACTCAACTTTCCATTGACGTGTGGTTCACTCTCTGAAGGCTGTAAATGACGAATGTTGGTCTTCATGTCGGATTTTCACATTTTTGTGAAACTAAATTTTACAATTGTATTCAATAAATTACAGGTTGAAAGTACATTTTGAAGATAACTTCCTAGCAGGCATTAACCACCCTTTTCATTGAAGCCCACATTTCTTTATTCATTTTTTATTGGTCTGATGTGATATCCTTGTCTTCAATGCTGCATTTTCAGTTTTGGTAAAAGTGAAAATTATCATAACTAGCAGAAAAATGGACTTAGAAACTGTCTCCATTTGTTTGATTTAGTGAAGTGAATTACTGAAAAGAACTGAAATTTACAGACTGTATTTAATGAATTAATTAAATAAATTAACTTTTCAATGATAGTTCCACGCCGGTATATTTCTATCAGATCCTCACCTGGCCTCTTCCACCAACCGGTGGTCCGGATTTGTGCAGCTCACTATTGGCACGTAGGTTCCCGGCGTGCAGTTGAGCGACGCGTACGTGACGCCGCACACGTCCAGGAAGTGAGGCCGCAGCCGCCCGACGCTGAGCTTGGCCATGTTGGTGAGCGACTGGCAAACGCAGCAGCCGAACAGGAAGGAGCCCAGCTCCTTGTACAGGCAGGAGACGTACAGGTTCCTCACGAATGACCTGGAGCTGACGCCGTGGAAGCGCGCCCGGTAGCACTCCCCGAGCGCAATCTGCAGGTTGGGAAAAGGTCAAAAGGGGAAGCGAGAAACGTTTGTTTTGTTGTTGTTTTTTAAGTGAGCTGCTGTGATGGGAGAAGGTGTGGGAGGGAAAATCTTGAAGACTCACTGCGAGGCCTGTGATGATGATTCCACCTGCGATAAGCAGCTTATTTGAAATGGCTTCGTTGGCCAGATAAGGGTAGGTGATGCTGGGGTCTCCACATGTGAAGCCCCTCTTGAAGGGTGTCACTACCTTCAGCTCGCAGGCGAAGAAAGGAATCGATGCTGCGTGAGCAGAGAAGAGGCGGACACTGGGTTAGCCCGACAGATAACCAGAAAGACTCTTCTGGTTTTAAAAAAAAACAAAACACAAAGGTCAAAGTACACGTGTCACAGAGAAGCGGACGGGCGACTAACATCTCGTAACGCTTACATGGCTGCGAATGTTACGACCAGACATGAGTTTTAATTGACCCTCAGGCGAGAACGCACTGGCAATTACACTTCAGCTTCACCCTGAGTCCAATGAAAACATTCCCAGCTCTCAAATATTCAGTCGTTATTGCTGTTATAATTTAACTCCTTTCTGTTTAAATTTCTCGCTCAAACAGCAACATTCATTGATTCGCCATCAAATTTCCACTCCTGGCATTTTTAATGAAAACTCTATGGTAATTTGTGCAGAACCTTGCAATAAATATGTTGGAATGCAAATGCTGGGTGCATCACTGAAGTACCTGCTAATTCAATCGCTAATAAAACACTGCGGAGGTTTTGAATCTCTTTGGCAAGCTTCTCTATTTTCCAGGGCGGCTCAAAGGTCTCAGAGGAACGGCTTTGTTTGTGACCGTCAGACTCACCTGCAGGAAACCACTGGACTCTTATTTTGAAATCAGACTGTTTTGTGTCCTTAAATCACTTCAGACTCAAAACCCCAAAGTGTTTCATGGAAATGTTTTGATACACTTTGAAGCCACCATCGCGTTTTCGTGCAACAGTTATTCAAGTCTCTCGGTTGTTTGCAATGTTAGCTTAACTAATCCGATTTTCTGTAGACTGGGATAACTTAGCTAAAATTTGAAAAAAAAATTATACTGATCTGTAGATAGATATTTCTCATTATGTTTTAATACAACGTCGAGTCGCAGGCAGTGATTGCAGTTTTCTGGCCGATTATCGATCTTCAAAAACCCTGACCTGCCGATTCTGATTTTTACCGATAACAATTTTTTATTATATTTTTGTCTGAAATGTCGCTAGATATCGTGAGGACATCACCGAGTCACCGTTAGTGGAGTGATAAAATGGCTGGTCGATAAATCAGAGTAGCCCGAACACAAAATAATGCTCAGCATGTTAAAAGTTGAAGCCAGAGGTTTAATTTGGGCCAAATCAAAATCACTAAAGCTCTTAAAGGGCCGGTTGTGGAAGAATGTATTGATACAATCTGTTCACAAACTGTAAAAATATCAATGAATTCTTAAAATTTAATTATATTTTTGAACATCTTTTCAGGATTTTGTGATTCTAATTCTGAAATATTTGCGCTTATTTATGAAGGTGAATGTGACTTTACGAACCATTCACATACCATAATCTGACATCAATTAGGCAGATGTTTTGTGCAAGTAAGAAAGTTTGGGACAATTTTTAAGGAAAATCTGCAATAAGTAGGGTTTTGTCAATTTCGTGTGAATTTCCATGATAATTCTCAAGAAAATGGAGGGACTGATCGATATAATTTAACAGATAAAAACTGCATTAATTTGATTGAAAACATAATATTTAAGCACACCTAGGGTTCAGTCTAAAATGTAGGGCCGCGTAAAGAGCTACAGCGGGCCGGATTTGGCCCGCGGGCCTCGAGTTTGACACACATGGTCCAAGCCAATAGCGAATGCTCTGCATTATAGGGGATTTGGGAGAGGAGAAAAGGTCAAACGTGGATTATTTTTTACAGAAAAACAAGAATGTAGAGGTCACCAAACTGCTCCGCTGGGATGTAAAAGACTTCAAGGAAGAGCAGCAGAGATCCTCTGTTCCCCGCATGAATACAAGCTGAGTCCACTGAGACTGGAAAGAAAGCGGCAAGGCAGAGCCCCAACAAAGACCCGGCTCCCACTGCGCATGTGTGTGAGAAGGTTTCTGTTGTTGAGGAGGAAGAGGAGAGCCGGGGATGGGGGCAAAGGGGGGTTGTTTATGACTCCAGTTCAACTCTGCCCAGCAAAACAAAGAGTAAATGGAGCAGCAGAGCCAGAGCCGGAGCCAGCTTCACACTGTCTCTGCTTGTCTCTGCCTCGTCCTCCGTTGTCTGTTTTGCATGCCTGCGCACACCGAACAAAGCAGGGAGTGGAGAGATAAAAGGGGTACAGGGTCTTCTCACGGTGCTCCCTCTCTTCTCAGCTTACCCAAACTGTTGTTGAAATGAACCACTTCTCCATACAGCTTTTCCATTTAACCAACAGTCTGCCCTTGTTTATTGCTGGCGGCTCGGTCAGCAACAGGCAACACACACAAACATGCAGTACGCATTTATGGCAAGCATATTTCTTCAAACCAAATCCTCCCCAGACTTTCCCCGAACCCTGAGAACTGGGATGTTGTCATGGAAAGAGCAGAAATCCCCAGGCAATGCACAGACCAGCTGGTACAGCGCGCTCAATACGCCTCAATAAGAGGGAAGGGTTCACATGTAGATGAAGGGAGGATCTTCTCTCACTCACTTTAAACTAAATGCCCTTTTAATAGACCCCAGCTGCTCTCAAAGAAGCACAAGATTCACTTAAAACATGTCTGCTTTTGTTTTTATGTATTTTTTTGAGCATAATGATACGCATCGGATCCCGATACAACTTTGTCACTTCCGATACGATACCAATATTGCGGCTTTGAGCGCTGGCCGATGCTGGTATTGATCCAATACAATATCAGCACAAATTATACAAAACGTTCTTACTTCTTTTGTAGCGTGGAATGTTATTGATCCAGTTATATTACTCAACCAGAGAACAGTAGTCAACAACAACTGGTATGTGACCAACAGACTCACAAAGTTCTGGGTGAGGGATAAAAGAGCGGCTGAATGTAAAGGCAGGCTGATATAATCTGATACCGATATCGCATCGCGATACTGATTTTAATTTCATTAAAATCAGTATACTGATTTTAATAAAATTAAAATCAGTATCGCATGTCATATCATCTCTAAGCCCTAAGAGTTTCCATATCAGCTCCGTTCCAGTTTTCTAGAGCTGGAAATATTTCCAACCAGCTCAAAGTGAATTGCTTCAGTTGGTGGTTTCCAGCAACAAGTGTCGGAGAGACAACCCTGTTCTACTCTGTGCGTCACACAGCAGAACAAAACACTCTGCTCCTCTCATTACAGCGCCCCGGGGCCAAAGGAATGATGTGTGACGTAACATACATTTTTTTTGAAACTGTAACTTTTTAAAACTTTGGACATTTTATAAACTAACTTGCAAACCAAACCTGGAGTCATTTTAGTTCTAATATTCAGATTATCCCAGTTTTGCCTGCTGGGCGTCTAAATAATAATAATAATAATAATAATAATAATAATAATAATAATAATAATATATATATATATATATATATATATATATATATATATATATATATATATATATATATATATATATATATATATATATATTTTAAACAGAACGGATTTAGAAACAAAGCAGAACAGACGACAGCATTAGTGAAATTACAAAAATAGAGGGATGTACAAACACATGAAATAATCATTTCTACTCTGACATGAAAAGGTGTTTCTTTTTTTTCAAAATTATGTAAAAATAAAAAGCTGCAATAACTAATATAGTAAATGAATATTACAACTGTTAAAATAGGGAAAGGAGAAATAGCAAGGTCACAGGAGATTCAGTCATTTTTGAAAAATGTTTCAAAAATGACTGAAATATTTTTGAAAACACTTTTTAAATGTTTTTAATGTTCTCTCAAATTGATGTTTTCTTGTTTCGTTTTTCTTTTACAAGAAGCGACAGAAACATTTGTCCGATAATCAATCCACCCACGCAGCCAAACGCCGTCTCCACATTTACATTGAAATAACGCGACGCGTTCAATAAAAGGCACTGAAAACTTCCTCTGGCGCGTTTTTATAAGTGACCCCGCTGTGTGAAAATACGAGTACGAGTCTTTCTGCATGCAACGCCGAGAAGCGGATCGTCTATTCACCCAGGCAGAGGCACAGCAGGTCCAGTCCCACCAGGAACCTCCTTTTGGACAGAGCGGGTCCCGTTACCTCCAGCAGCTTCTTCCCGCTGTCCGTCCCCATCACCGCCGGCTTCAGGCTCACCTTCCCGCCCGCCGCTTTGAGCTGCGGCTCCGCGCTCGGCGCCCCAAACGTATCCAGCATCGCGTCTGCGGCTCGAAGCTCAGCGTGGAAAAAATAAAGACCCAAAACAAACTTGAAGGCGAGTGCGTAACCCGGACCGTGGCTGCGTGTTATTTAAACACTCCCAGGAGATTCACGTGCTCACACGTTACTGTGTTTCCGTTTTCACTGACGTTCATTCATCACTGTCTGGGCAGGCCTGCCCCAACCTGTTGCTGCTGATTCATCTGGAAGACATGGCCTTGTTTTGCGAAACAAACAGGGATAAGATCTTTATTCCCCCCCACCCCTCCCCCACACACACACTCTCTCTTTTTTTTTCTTCACGCCAAGAGGGGAAAATTTCACCTCACCTTCCTGGGAAGACAAATGCATCAGAGGTTTGTCACGGCGTCTGGAGGAAGGATGGCTTTCTTCATGGTCACTGCTCGTCTCCATAAAGCCAACATGTGAACTTGTATTGTTCGCAAACTCCTTCAGCCACAGGCAAAATAAAACCCAGTCAATTAAAAGGCCGTTTTCTAAAACGTCGTCTATTAAGTGAAAAGCATTTCGCTTAAAGGGACAGAATCCCTTTCGTTCGTCCCTTGAAGACATTTTATTCGTGTGCGCTGTCGACTAAATGAAACTCATTGTCTCCCGACTGATGGGATTTGTGTATCTTCTGTGTTACATTTGTCACTCTGTTTCATTTTCCTCATTTTCTTGTCTATGAGGTCACGACTGCGTCAATGTCGTGACTTCCGGCTAGTCAGTGGCGTCAATCCGCCATTTTGTTTCGCCGTCTTCCCGGTGATTTTGTGGTCTTAAGTTCGGTTGTGCCGCAGTCGCTGGTGGGTAAGTCAAAGAGTTTGGTTCTGGGATTCCTTACATCGCCCCGGCGCCTGGCGAAATGTTATTTATCTGCCATCATCAGTGGGGAAAGTCGGCTTCTGTTAGCGCTGTGCGCTAACTTTTAGCTCCTGAAGACATAAGTGCACTTCATGTTTTGGACATAATTATTCGGTCTTTTTTTTTCTTTACACATAATTCAAATGTTCCTTGATGCTACTGTTAGCTAACTCCTTCATTATGTCAAGGCTTTGTTTACTTCATTCATCTTGTGCTAGCATTAGCACAAGAATACAACACTCCATATTGTATTCAGGACAAGTCATCTTAAACTTGGCAATAAAGAGTTTCTCTGCCGGTGGATAAACATGTTTCTGGTTTCCAATTACAAATCTGGCCAAAAGGAGCGGAGCGGGACGCTAAATAAAGGTAAACGAGGGATCCGTGAAGCTGCAATACCGAGAAATTCAAACCAAAGCATTCAAACCCATAAGAGAATGATTTACGTGTGAAAAGGAAGCATTTAAAAGCTCAACGTGTCACTTTAATCAACAAATCGACATTGGGGAACAATTTTCTATGTAGCTCCTCTGAGTGGTCTGGATGTAAAATGTCTGTGACTCTCACCCAGTGGCTACTGGACACAGGCACCAAGTACGGACGTCACCAACATGCAAAAAAAAAAAGAAAGAAGGAAAGGAAGGAAGGAAGAATGAAAGAAAGAAAGGAAAAAACTGTAACAATGACATTTTAACTAAACTGTAAAAAGGCTAAAAAGGTCATTTCTGGAAAATTTCAGAGTTTGCTTTTAAAGAACCACAAGACTTATTTCATTCTTGAAACAGAAATGAAGCTGTCAGATTTTACCTGATGAAATCTGCGTTTTATCAGGTATTTATTTCCTCATTGCTTTTTTCAACCTCATTGGGAACAAATCAAGATTAAAAAAGTGAATTTTCATGAATGATGAAAGACACGCTGAATCACAAATGAGCCAGTCCTGAGTTCATTCATAAGGCCCTTCAGGTGCCACCAGATGGCTCTTAAAGGTGTGACCAAGCGCAAATCATGGATGGCTCATCAAAACTCACCCTGTCTGATTTGCCCCTGGTTGGGGCTTTTAGAAGATCATATTGGGTTTGTTTATGCAGTGCAGGCAGTCACTACACAACTAGGATCCTCTCTAACCTGATATTTTCAAGGGGAAATATCGTGACTTCTGAAGTATTTTTACGTGCACACGTTTCTTAACTTAGGAGCAACAGCGCCACCTAGAGTTAAAATGAAAGTCTCGTGTCCTGTCTGAAAATGTGAGAAACTTTTCATTTCTCTTTCTGAGTTCATGTGTTTACTATTTTAAACATAGTGGGAGAATACAACTAAAAGTGACTTTCTACTGTTTAATTTTTCTCAAATTTTCTTTAAATAAAGACCTGGAGCTTTCCCTTGTAAATACACTTTTAACTATAAGTATTTTTATCAGTATTATTGCTGCAATAAGTTTAGATTAAACATTTTTACTTCTATAAGTGTAGTTTCTCGACACATTTATGTTCAGTCGCATTGATTATTGTAACAGCGTCTTCACAGGTCTGTCCAACAAATCAAACAGCTGCAGCTGATCCAGAAGCTGCTGCTCGCGATCTCACTAGAACCAGGAAGATAGAGACATAACACCAGTTTAAAGTCCTTCACTGGCTCCCTGTAGCTCAAAGTAAAGACTTTAAATACTGTTATTTTATAAATCACTGGACAGTGAGCACCACAATACATTAAAGATCTGTTGTTGTTGTATCAATCGTCCAGACCTCTCAGGTCTTCTGGTTCTGGTTCTGCTCCACATCCCCAGAACCAAACTAGAAGCAGAATTCAGCTTCTATGCACCACACATCTGGAGCAAACTTACAGAAAACTGCAAAACTGCTGAAACACTGACTTCCTTTAAATCTCGACTAAAAGCCCAGCTGGTTAGAGATGGATTTGAAACTTAATCAATTACAAATTTAATGGTGGAACTTGACTTAATGTCATGTTCTGTTTCTATGTTGCATGACTTTGTGTTTTTGTGATGTAAAGCGCTTTGAAATGCCTTGCTGCCGAAATGTGCTGTACAAATAAAATTTGATTGATTTGATTGATTGACACTTCAACAACCAGTTTGTCTTAGCAAACAGGAAAAATACTGTCTCAGCGTCACCGTGTCACTCCGGACCCATCCGAGCTCTGAACAGAAGATCAGAACCAATCATGGCGCGGAGGTGTTACCACTTTTACCAGCCGTGCTTCAGAGTAAACTTTCCTGAACCGCGTATCTGCAGATGTCGACCGTTTTACATGACCAAACTCCACAACTACTACTCCAACAAACAACAACATGTAAGAACTGATTAGAAAGTCAGCCACAAGCTTTTAATGTTTAAGCCATGTAGCTGAGTGAAGTGACACAGAAGAAGGACCTCACCACAAAGGTACGAGCTGAAAACATTTACTGAAGGAACAGGATGAGGGGGTGAAGGGGATGAATCGGCTCGGCTGGGTCATCTGGGCAGAATGCTGCAGACCTTGGGCCATGAAGACTCGGCCTTCAGGTCTTCAGGAAAATGTGTGACACTTTTTTTCCCCCAGAGTATTCTCGCGACTCTGCAGACGAAACCTGAGGCAAAAAGGAGCGAAGAGTAGCTGTGAGATGGAGGGAAGGACAAGGGAGATGAGGATGATGGGATGAAGAAGGACGGGGTAAAAGAGGTAAAGTGTAAAAGAGGGGTAGGGGTGAGGAAACTTAACAGAGGAGTCTGCTTGGGAAGTTGGAGGAGTGGCCCAGAACCTAAGTTAACATATTATTAAATATTAACTTCATATCGAGGGTTTCTTCCGTCTTGTAATTGTGTTTTTCTCCACTAGGTGGAGCCTGTAGTCTGGTATTCACCCACTTTACTACATCTCCTAGCTCTATTAATATGTATGCCTAAAGTTAATTGGGACTTAGCTGTGAAATAAAATCTCAACCTGCCCAATATGTCTGGTCACCACTGGAGCACATGTTACATTACAACTGTTATCATGTCGTGCATCTAAATGTTGACTGTATGAACGTATGAACTATTTACTAAGGTGGTACTTTGAGAAAGTTTGGTCCAGAAGCAACCAGGTCCGGAAAACCCAGGAATTTTCAAGAGAGTTGTCAAGTTTTTAATTTACAAAAGCGTCCCAATACTTTCACCTCTGGGAGATTTGAATCTCGCCCCTGTCCCGTTCCATCACGGATCCCCTACTTTAAGGTTGGGTGTTGAAACCCTCCTTCTCTTCTCCTTCATGTATGCTAAAACAGTTCCTTTTAACATCCCGATCAATGTGGAACCGAGCTTCAATGGGCAAACACCAGACTTCTCCCTATACAATCTATACAAACAGATCTGAATATCGTCTTCCCTCCTTCTGTCATTATCCAAAGTGAAACTTTCACTGCAACAACATCTGAAGACATCAGGAAGTTAAACACACAGATGGGTCTAAAAAATGAATAAGTTACCCTGAGCATCCAGTGGCTCTAAAGGTCAACAAAGTGAATGTTTTGCTTTGACACACAGTCATGATCTCAATCATGAGGAAAAGTTGTGGGTCGATATGACAAGGCAGGAAAACCAAAACTTTTCACCCGAATCATACAGTTTGAATTATTGCTTGATTTGTGTAACTGTTGTTTTCTTTATGTTCTTTTTTTCTGTTTCTGTACATGGAGGAGCTCTGAGTCACGTCACAAAAAAAGAAGGAAAGCGAACACCTTTCTGAACATGAAGTGAAAGCCACGGCAGTGACTTCCCAGGGACACGGCCCGGCGCGTCACGCTGCTGTTTTTGTTTTGATTGAAAAGTGTCGGGCCTGACCGCAGAAAATCCAAAACAAGATCCGTCTGTCCAGATTTATGACGCTCCTGTTGCGGCAAGTCGCTCCTCTGCCTTGGCTGAGGGAAATGACGTCCACCCACTTCTGGTATTTCAAGGCTTACAGTAAAAAATATTTCATGTCTGAACGGTGAAAGGTATGATTCTTTACGCCTCACCGTCAGCACTTCATTATTCGCGGCTGATGACGTAAGACACGATGACAGATGTGTGGAAATTTGCAATCTATAAAATGTAATAACAACCTTGGAGGTTTTACCTTTTCTTTAAAAAAATAAAAATAAAAAATTATAAATTAATTGCGATCAACATGTTTGTTCAAAAATATTATTTGAGAAAAATTTCCACAAAACAGTGACATTTAAAGAACAATTAAAGAACATGAGATAACAGACTACATCAATATTCACGCCCTTCTAGTCTCCATCAGGCTGCACAT